TATTGTATTTTAGCCAAACGTACCAATGGCATTTGTCTTGCTAAGCTCATCAACCTTGACTTGAAAAATATGTTAATTATAAGATTGCTATTGGTTTATCTGTGCAAAATACAATAGACATGTGATGAGAAAGGAACAATTTTTTTGCATAAATGTACCTCAACATAGTTAATGAGTTGTATTGTAGTATTATATGGTCTCCAAAATATGTATATTCTATTAACTGTGCTGTGACCTATGTTAAGACACGCAAATGTCACCATTTACTTGTTTATACAATTTTTGGTGCATGTAATGACATTAATTCGAAAGTAGGTTTATATGAAATATATTATATGAAATATCAAAAGAGACATGCATGTATGCATTAGAATAATCAACTCGTTCGCGACGTGCCGAGCAAGGTGAGTGCATGGGGGATGTTGCACCTCACCGCCTTTTTTATGCTCGGTACAGTTAGTACCGCCAACAGCTATAAATTGAAGTCTGAAGATTGACAATATATTTTATCATCAAACTATAGCATTCCCGAGCCTAAACTAATATATAAATGGCTATTAACATGGGTCAAAATAGTCAAACCAGTCATATTTTGAACTGAACTGAAGTAGAGTATTTCGTTAAAAATATAGCGGTGAAACTGCATTTCCCGTACTAGGCAAATATAAATAACGATAAACGTGAATGCAGATTTGTTAAAACACTCTAAAATACCAGTAATCTGTTTGTACAGAACAGGACCTGTCTACATTTAAAGCATCCGTGAGTTTGGCATATTAATAAGATATTCAAGGCTTGATTTTCACACGGGGTACTTTTTTGATACACCCGCTTTCTATTCGATCAAGTTATCCCTGGGTAAAGGCCGTGGGAAGACATTTTAGTCTAGAATATTTAAATCGTTAGCTGTTTGGATTTTAAGAATGAAGTTCAGACCTGAAGATGTTATTTTGATCTCGAAATCTACAAAAGGGAGCCAAAGGGAGCCATACAAATGTTTTGCTTTGTTGTTGGCTTCGTTTTTGGTTTTAATCAACATTATTGGCCCAACGTTTCACAGCCGTGTTTATAGGCAAAACTCTTCTGATTTTCTGCTTTTTCATTAAGAATGGCGTTTAATTACAAGCTACCAGCAGCTACTATTATTCTAACAGGTAAGGGTTCATTTTCTGTTTAATATATGCATGAGAAATTCAATCACCGAGTTCTGAGAGGAAGATAGCGTAATGTTATAGCACAATGCAAAATTCAAAGTCGCCCATACTCGTTGTTACTTTGGCCAGTTTTGCGCATGCAAAAACAGCATGCAACCTCCTGATTGGTTGATTAACTCAAATTCTCTGCATTTTAATGAAACGTTAGTATAACCTAACTGACCCACAACAATGTAACTTCTGCCTTTAATTTTGGCAAAATGATGCCGAATTTATTGGAGTAATGGCGCTTATCGATCTTATTTGTTCTGTAACTGCTGCGAATTCTTAAATAAGCCTACGATTTCTGCCCAAGTGTGACTCACTTCGAGTAATTCACAAAACTATACTGACGAAAATGGTAAAATTTTCGTAGTTAAGCCATATTTTACATCTTCCCCTGAACATGGAAGCTAATCCAAAGCGACCCAGGGGTCATCATAAGACCTCCCATTTCCTAAAATGGGCTGTTCTGATTGAAAAATGGGTAGTTCTAAAGCCTAAAAGGGTCAGTTCTAAAAATTGAGTTTTGGATAGAAAATAGATAAAAAAATAGATATTCCCAAGATAGTTTCTTGCAAAGGAAATAGGAACATCTAAGAAGTGCTGAATAACTTTATAGTAACTTCCCAAATTAATCGTGTTTTCGCAAAATGCACCAATAAAATTTTTTTTTATATACCAAAATTTTCCCCCCAAAAGTCTCCTCATGTTGCTGAAATTCCGATTTGGAAGAGCTCAATTTCAAAAATTCTCTGCAGCGCAGCTACCCCTTACACACCCAGAGGAGGGTTGGTGCTCTCGTGCTAGCAAAAAATGTGCCGCATAGAAATTACAAGTCGTTTCCATGAACGAATTCTATATTTTGCTCTAGCGGGGCTGCTGGTCAGTTTGGTTGATGCTGATGTGTATCTACACAATCCAAGAGGTTCTAACAACCGTCTAAATGGCAACCAAAAAGCGAGGCAAAACAACAATAGATTGTTCGACTCTCAGGTAAGCCTTATATACGCCCAACAGGCAAAACCACATTTCTGAAAGAAATGGTCGATCGCATCTTTGCAAAACTTGCTGTTTAGAAAATTGGTGGGTTTGCAGAAAAAACCTAAATAATCGGAAACAATAGAGTTAGGGTTGCGCGGTTGTGAATAACTAAATTTTCTTTTAAGGATATTAGAAGCGCGACCTGGTTTGAGCTTAATAGAAAATTGAAACGTTCTCCGGTTGTAAATATATTTAATTTTTAAGAAGTTTCGTCTGCAAGACTTCAGCCTTCAACGGGTAGTTAGAAATAAACGACTTACAACAAATACCTATGGTTTACAATAGACCCTCTCGATAATTAAGTCACAACATTATCGTTTTAAACTTAGAATCACCTTTCAAATGAGAAGGATTTCACGTTTTACTCTCACGAGCTATGCGCAAAATACAAAACATCCTTCTTCAACACATGCAGGAAAAATAATTTTTAGTTTTGACTAATGAACGTGGAAAATAACCCGCAACACTAAAACGAGGCTATCATGCCTCAACCGGGAGCCTCGTTCTCGAGTTATGGCTTATTTCCATACTTATTATGTCAAAATACTTATTTTTCATGCATGTGTTGAAGAAGGATGGTTTGCATGATGATGCAAACGTAATTATCGAAAGGCTCGATTGTAAATAACGGTTTACATACCGCACTCGCAATTAATGCTGACAATAATGCTAAGCAATTTACCCGAACAATACCAGTTTTTATTAAAGAAATAGAACTATACCGTTGAAGGCTGCTGTCTGGAAGCCAAAGGCTCGTTGCAGATTAAATATTTACAACTTGAGAACGTTTCAATTTTCTATTCAACTAAATTTTCAACTATAAATATATAATTTTCTTGTATGATTGCATGGCGACTTTAGTAATTATAATAACTTGTAGGTACACCACGTAAGTATTGAATACTGCAAAGCTTTCGGTCCGTTAACCCGGACCTTCATCAGTGCAATTACTTGAATACACGTTTGAATTCACGTTTTTGTTTCGCGCTCTTTACACACACAAGGATGGCGTCGATGAACAACAGAAACCTGGTGTGTACCGCATTCCATGTGAATGTGGTTTGGTTTACATTGGAGAGACCGGTAGAAATCTCTCAATACGTCTTAAAGAACATAAGACGAACTGCGAGAAAGGTAAACTGGATAAGTCTGCAGTAGCTCACCATGCATGGACTTATGATCATCGCATTAAATGGAACGATGCTACCATTTTAGCAAACGATAAGTTTACTGTCTCTCGTAAAATGAGAGAATCTATTGAAATTTATAAACATCAAACTATCGTCCAAGAGGGAAAGCCACTTAATAGTACGTGGCGTGCTCTTTTCGGTGTCTCTTAGTCAAATACTTGTCTAGGGCGCGCGCATTAATTAGAACTTAATTAAATGAAACCGTTTAATTAATAGCGCGAGCAAACTAATCACGACTAACATGATATTTAAGTGACGCGCAAACGTGTATTCAAGTAATTGCACTGATGAAGGTCCGGGTTAACGGACCGAAAGCTTTGCAGTATTTAATACTTACGTGGTGTACCTACAAGTTATTATAATTATAAATATATAGTATTGAACATTTATGCTTCAAACCGCGTTACAAAAACCCATAAATGCTCACGGCATTACTCCTTGCTTAATATAAGCGAAGCTGCCAGGACGAGCATTTTGCTGAGTTAAAAACACTACACTAGTGTGAGCCGAGATTGAGGCATTTTTTAACTCATTCCACAAACCATATATTTCTTTCGATTTTTGTAGAACAACGCTAATGGTGGTTACAATGTTGGCGATAAAAATCAAAAATCGAACAGCGAGGAGACACAATTTAACATGGTAGCTGTTTATTTAAAGCCCACGTTTTTTTGTTTTTTTTAAACATCATTAATTTTTTGCAAAAACTGTGAACATTCATTTGACCAAAAATTCAAAACTGAGATAGATGGCTTGGCAGAGCAGATAGTATAATAATTCACCATAAAACACATCACTAATCCAGTAATTGCCTGTTATACCCGCGGTATCATGAATCATGATAATCATCATGTTCGTTATCATTTCAATCATTCCATTGATGACTGTTCATCCTGTACCAATGTGAAATAAAGTATCTTAAAGTTGCGTATTTTTTAGCACTACTTCCAGAGTGGCAAAGGCCATATAAGTAATTCAGGCCTGACAGGAAAATCGCAGCTCACAATTGAATGGACAAATCAACATGGTTGTGGTGACCGAGATTTAAATTGTAATTTTGTTCTTCAATATCGATGTCAAGATGACACGAAGCATCAAGCGTTAAACTATCACACCATGAGAAATGGTATGAAAATAAATAATTTTTCCTTTATTGAGAAACTCGTGACATTGGCAATGTATTCGCAAAATATATAGTTACAAGCTACTAATAGACCTTTTCAGCTTGTATGTAAAGTCACAAGGTCAAAATGGTCAAAATGTTCATCAAATCACATGGTCTGAAATGGTTAAGTTTTATTGGCTATTCCATGGTCACAACGTCTGAAATGGATTAATTTGCATGCAAGCTGAAAACGTCTATATTATATGCTACTGATATTTACTCTATATTTATTTTCTGAATTATGAATGAATTATATTATATACTGCAAATTCCAATCACCGGCCACATCCCCAAGCACTTATTTGTTACAAAACCCAAGATAGTACTAATTTACATGTACTTAAGTTCGCAGTTTGGTTGGAAAACATCAATAGTGTAAGTGCACTTTCGGCTACGGTAATTATACGCATGGAACAGAGAAAGAATGAACGACATAGAGCAGATGACGATGTTTTGACATTAGTGATAAAACTTTGCATTATATTACGTTTAGGACGTCAAACGACTACTCCAGGGTACAGGAAACGTGTCTTCACCAGACGCTCACAGAAGCTCTATAGACTAAAGTATGATTCAGCCAGTTTTCGTCGAGGTCTTCATGAACCCTGGGAATGGTATGACAAATGCGCCAAACGAAATCGTGTAGGTGAGTTACATCGGTTGAAAAACAAACAAAAATGATCTGGCTGCAAGAATGCTCACTTTGAATCGGAATAAAAAAGTCGAAACTTACTTTATACGTGTCAAACTAATCAACAGTCTTGTAATATGATGTGCTCGATACCAATGGCAATGCGTTATTTTCGATATAAGCATGCACTAAGGAAATCTGACATACAAATAACCCAATATCTGGACGATAATCTAAAAGGTTATGCGGAACGTTGTATGACCCAAACAAATCGTGCGATACGGTTAATATACAGCATTAAATTCGAGCAAATTTCTTCAATGGGCAACACATAATGGATTACTGAACGGGAATAATATGTTTTGATGCATCAAGTTACAATTTCCGTTGCCCTCAGTATTTTTGCAAAAAGCGTGTCGCTGGAAAATTGATCACGTCCAAATAAAAAAAATCGAGCAGAATAAAAATCCTATATACAAGGAGGGAGCGAAGTTGATTTAAGTTGGTCGAATTATAAAACTTGGTCCACATGATCCATATCGCATGCCACCAACTAGTCCTCGTCCGCAAGGCCAAGTGTAGATTATCCTAAGTCAGAAATATTATTTTGCAGGAATCAAATGTGCCAGGATGACTAAATCAGGCAGATGTTGTGTTTTCCCGTTTTATTATCGAGGTGTTCGGTATGATTCCTGTACAACGGTGAATTATGGAAATACCTTATGGTGTGGAACAACAACTCAAACCTCAACATGGAGTGAATGTGTAGGCGGTAAGCGAAATGCTAAAACATTGTACGCCGAGTGTAGGCATATAATTCTAGCATGCCATCCGCAGAACAATTTTTCCCAGCACTCGCTGCGTAGTATTCTTACATTGAAACGGTTATTTCATTTTTTTAAGTTAAAATAGTTTAATTTTCAATGAAAGTGCATATTAAATACATAATATGCAGGTCCGGTCATTGAAAAGTTGTATGAGAGTACTTTTAAACTTTGGTTAATCCGCCGTTTAAGCAAACGCCTTTCGAACAACCGGCCCTTGAAGGTTAAGTAAACTAGAATGCAACGCCTGTACATCCCACACAAAATCAAAACAATGCATGTTTATGATAAATCGGTGCATGCATTCTTGAAGCATTAGGAAGCATGTAACGTTTTAATGGAGTAAAATTTTCGGCATTATTTCACTAGATTTTGATTGTATTTTGCGTTTTTATGACAGGTTCTGGAAGAAAAAGAAGATCATTTGAAGGTTTTAATTCTAATATTGACTCACAGCATGAAATAGAGTCTTCAAGGGAACCATCTAGAAGTGTTTTAATCAGATACAAAAGATTATATATAGCTACATTTACGTCAATTTTTATACATACACGTTTCTCTTTGTTTTGTGTCTATAATAAATTCCTGAGAATAATTATATTCTACTGATCATATCCAACACATAATTCAACATAATTATATCCAACACATCAAAAACAGTTGAATGTTGCCAACCTCTTGTCTGGATGTGAATGCTAAAAACATGAACCTTTCTTTTTTCAACTCCATTATACATTTAATTACCCACCTCAGCTTCTGACAATGTTTTTTCCTTAGAATCAATTGATTATGCTTTTAATGATGATGGCCAAACAACTGGAGGTAAGATTTGAGTAAAATGATAATTACACACTGACGTCATAGCTCTAGTTAAAATACCGTAAGATGAAAGAACGAAAACATGAAATGTCTCAGTGGCGGATCTAGGGGTGCGCAGAATAAATTACACAGCTTAGTTTTAAATTCAAAACACCTTTATGACAAGGCTATTTGTTATGGATTTGAAAACCATATTTTTACATTAAAATCTGCCAATTCGATTCCGATTTTAAGCCCTGTTAAGCCTTTTAAGACTTTAATAAATAACTAATTTATTAAAAAATAAATATCGTGTAAAATTCGCGTCCCCTTGCCAATTCACGTCCTGTCTGTGGGGGGCTTAACATAAGGAACAGAATAGGACGAAGCGGCTTGGACCGCGTTTGTTACCAAGCTGTGAATCGCAAACTCTCTATTCTCTCCCTAGGACTTTTCACCGCTGATCAAAAGCTGAAAGGGAAGACATGTATTTACACCCGACAAAATGCAAATGGTGCTCGTAGTGGCTATGAATGTCCTGAGGAACGAGATTACTATCCTTACTGGCATCCTACTGACTGGATTGATATGGCAGTGTTCGCTTTTAATGAAAGCATGTGCAAGTATTATAAAGAAGAAAGTTTCAACGTCAAACCTAAGCGTAAGTGTTGACATTGCCTTTTCCTGTTCAATGAAAAAATGGTCGATTTTTTCGTACCCCACAGATTATAGCGAGTATGTGACGGCGTGTCTAAATCTATGAATATTTGATTTTTTTACTCAAAATCTTGAGTTTATTTTCAAGAAGCTAACTGTAGGGCTTCCGCCGCAATATGCATAACGATCGTGTCATTAGGATCGAATCAAGACTGTTCGCCGATTTAATCAAATTTAACATGGATTTTGTTTCAGTCTGATAAGCATTCGAAGAAGTGGTTTATTTCGACATACATTTTAATAAATATGTTTTCTTGCATGGCAGTAACCGCTCACTGCAAGCATGAAAAAGTATTCAACGATAAGCATATTCATATCTGTGTGGCTTATGCGCAAGACATCAGTTAGAATCGTCTTCGTGTATTAGATATCAGCACTGACAGTTGATTACAGTTGATTGATATTATATTACTACTACGTAAACGCGTATCCAATCAAAAATATACCTATACACACATAATTATAACATCTTAATTTTTTCCTGCCTTATTATATCTTATGCTTTTGACTGCGTATCCACGTATCCGCACATGTCATACTAATTTATATGTCACATACATGTAACATTATTTTCACTTGGTATCATCGTATCATGAAAATAAAACAATTACAAATTCTGTTTTTTATTTAACTGGCTCCTAGCTGGTGATATAAAGCTTCCGATAAAATGGATAAAACAAAGTAATTAAACTAAATTTGCACGCACTAGACCTATTTATAATGATGTCAAACGCGGAAGCCTGATGTTACAAACATTTGATTGCTTGGCTTAATATGTAACTTTGTGGGGCCAATCAAACTTTATGTGGCAAATGTTTGACGTCATGAGAATGGTCAATCCATACTTCAATGCATGCAACCCCTCCAGGCTCCAAGCAGGTTCAAATTTTATCTCGACCAAAATAATGCATGCGTTGGTAGATTATTTCTTATGTTATGGCAGGTTCTTAACTTGAAAAGCATCCCGCATTTTTCATAAACGCTCTAACTTTTTTGCAGACGAGTGCCTTGAATACTACCCCAAGAAATCAGATGGTTTTCGACATGACTCGGTTTACAGCAACAAAATTGACTGCGAAAACAATGGAGGATTTTGGGTTCCATTCAGCAACTATTTAGAAGAATATCCTGCGCATCGAACAGAGCAAGAATGCGCAGCCGCAAGTTCTGATAAACTTCGTCTTGTCTGGGCCATTCCTTACCGCTCTGAAGATATCGATAATTTGAAGATGACTGGTAATGATGTTGAATCATTAAAACGCTGTTTGGTTGCACTCGATCCACCTGAATGCAAGGTAGTTCCGTATACAAGATCGAATCATTTAGGGAATGCCCGTGATGTAGTTCCACTTCGCTACAATTGGGTTCTTCCATATTTTCCGTCTGCTCGTACACAAAGATGCGTTCTAAGAATAAGGTAAGTCGTAGAATTGCTATAATTTTATTTCTTTGATTCTTTTTTGGGAACTCTACTTTGTATTTTACCGTAAATTCGTGTATAAACGCGGCAAAGTGTAAATAATAAAAGTTAGAAACATGTAAAAGACTAAAGTCGGAAATAGACCGCAATTATCCAGTACAAACCAGCCATATTTAAACGTCTCTGCCTTACATCAAATGCGATTTTGCCATCAATTTGCAAAATTGTAAAAGCAAAAAATAAATTAAGCCTGTTTATAAGACGACGTGTAACAAAATTATTTATTTTTCTAGGCAGTTAGGGATAAAAGGAAGTTATTAATTATCTGCTAGTGTAGCAGGCCTAAGGATTTAGTCCGCTATGCAAATTTCCATACAAATAATATTTCAAATGAAATTTCTAAGGCTCCAAGAAAAACGCCAAACATTCACAGATAATCACAAAATTCCACAGAATAATACAACATTTATAACAAATTAATTTATTACAAAAGATAATTAGAGTAAACCTATGGCCATACCACAGACAATTTTTGTCTGAAATAGGGTATTTATATGCGCAAAATACGTCTGAAGTAGTATTAATGTGACGAATATGTTCGTACAACCCGCAGGTACAATATTTCTACGGGAGATTATCCACCATTCAGCACATTCGGCGACAAGAATGATAACCCGTAAGTATCAAATATCTGTTTGAGAGTAATCTAATTATCTAGAAATTAATAACTCAAATTGTCTGTTCATCTTCGAGAACGTTTTATGTGTAAACGTACTGTCAAGGCTTTGATAAAATTCCTGCCAAAATGTAAAAAGTTGCGGCAAATATTATAACCCCCTCCTAACATCCAAAATTAATTTATCACTTTCCAGTGGGATATTTATGAGGACTGGAAAAATGCACGAGTAAATCCAATTTATAAGGAGGCCAACTTTTGATTGATTAATAGACCAACTTTTGATTCAGGTAACAAAAAGGAAATTTCCTAAAAGTGATGAACAATCCGCTCCAAGCCTTAGAGAAAAATTTACTAGAAATACATGCATGCAGCAACCCCTCGCCATTTTAAACGAAGCAAAATAGTTCGTGCGCTACCCAGACCTAACTTTCTACGCTAATATTATGAAATAATTCGTGCAAATTTTTTGGAAACAAAGACAGTGAACAGTGAACAGAAATCACCTGTTTGCCTGCTGCATTACGTTGCAGTTTAAGTGAGTGTTAAACTTTTCTATAGCTAAACCTTCAAAACATCAAAACAGCACAAATAATTATAATAACCAACAAGCAGGAAACGTCAAATGTTGTTTTTCGATTATTTATTTTATTCAATGATTTTAGCGTCTATATAAGCTGCAAAGTGATATTTGTTTTATCAAAACTCCGAAGTACACTTTTGAGAACTCTTTTTATAGTGCCTGTATCACTCGTGGAATCTTTATGCATTTGAAAAGAATGTAAAAAGTTAGTTAATATATTAAAGAAAGTTTTTGATTTAGTGCAATAATTTTGAAGATACTAGCCTTTAAACTACCTGCAATTCCTGAGTCCCAGGCTCCTGTAAACAATGGGCAGTTTCAAATTGTATAGCCGTGTTTAAACCCAGGAGGTTGGGACTCAGGAACCGCAGGTAGTTTAGAGGCTTGTATCTTCGAAATTATTGCACTAAATGAAAAAATGTTTTTAATATATAAACTAACTTTTTACGTTCTTTTCAAATGCATAAAGATCCCACGAGTGATATAGGCACTTTAAAGTTTAAGCGATGATGTAAAGCGTTAAACGGTCGGTTAGCTCCTTGTAAAACGACATACCAAGCTCGTACTTGTCAAAATAACAATGCATTCTTACAGCAAGCAGCAGCATTCTTACCACTTCAAAGATTATAAACTACGAGTCGTTCCTATTTCACCAACTGTTTCTGTGCTGTGATGATCTTTAAATATTTTATTATTGTTTTAATATTTGACTCCATGATTTCATTTTATATTTTTAAAAAATAGTTTGCAAAATGACGGTTAAAATGCTAACGCTCTCATGCGTGCTCTCTTTTTGTCTTTGCCAATCAGCAAGTTGTAGACGACCGTTCTTTCTTCTTTCAAAGTTCGCGCATGCGCAGAACTACCATGACCATTGAACGTCCATGACATTTAATTTGAGCAACTTTAGATTCGCCTATGTTCTGTCAGCATACCCGGGTGTAATTCCTAATCTCCGGGTGGGATTAGTACCCTTGCACGGCGCTTCGCCCCGGCTCGGGGATAAAGATCAATAATTTAATCGAGAGTGCAACTTGCAATGTACCGATACTGATATAGCACTTCCAAAACCGAAAAAAACAAACTATCTGAAACGGAGTTTCGGGTATAGTAGTGCATTGCTGTGGAATAACCTCAATCTGAGCCGAAAAAAAATCCTTGATTTATCAATCAAGCGCTGCATTCCCCCCATGCCACATGTTGTGTATGGCCAGTGTGGTTAAATAAGTTTTGTGAATGAATAAATGAAAGAATAAATAGTATGTCGTATATAGGGTAAATTTGCAAGTGTGGTGGTAAATGATGACTTCAGGTAAAAAATGATGATTAATGAGGACAGGTACACACTAAGCATAAATCGCTGTAGCACGTCTCTGTAACAAATCGCTTCGTGTATTCGTATTATGGAGAGCAATGATGATATCATTGTACGCAAGCGCTATAATCACCCATAGTCTTGTCGCTGTGACAAGTCGAACCAATTCAAACTGGCTTTTGACGTGTTAACACGCTGCAATTGCAGCGACAAATTTGCATCGAAGCGGAAAAGTGCTTGCTCAAATTTACCTGTTCAAACGATGAAATTTGTCGCCAGAAATCGTTTATATTTTCTGCTGATTAAATATCAGCTTTGCTAAACAACGGTAAGCGAGACCCTAGAATACAGAATCAATAAATCGACTGCTGCCTATTGGGTTTAAACAAAAATACTTCCATATCAAAGATGTTTTTTCGTTTCTTACAAGGGAGAACGGTGTGAATTCGCCAGTCAAAAACAATCCAACTGAAAAAATTGGCCAAGTGCAGATGCCATTGCAACTTGCAATCAACACCGCACAGTTTGGACGCACTTTTCAAGACAGATCACATTTATTCAAACTTATACCAAGACCCAAGACTGTGTCAGATAATGACGTCATCTATAATTTGAACGTACGAGGAAAGCGCGGGAATATCGTTCAAACATTTCCGGCTGTGGAATACGACTTTATCCCAAAACGATTGAAAGTTTCAAGTACAAGTCTTGTCCATATCGCGTGGACTGGTGAGTTGCTGTTAAAATTAATATTTCTTATAAATTTTGGTGGCAATAATACGTCGTTTTGCTCGAAAATATCTGTAATCCTTTAATTTATATAAATCGTCTCGTATTTCGAATTTGATTTATGTCCCAATACAAATTTCCCAACTAGGCTATGGGGGCGTAACGTGACATATTTCTCTGAGTATTCCACTATAGAAGCAGTGTCATATTCTGATTAAATGTCCTTATGTAAAGGTTCCAATAGCAATCCCCAGGGAAACGATGGCCAGGGTACAGCAGGTATGTTAAAATAATGTAAAGCAATTATGGAAACTCCGTAAAACGCTTTTGAAAAGGGAATTTTCTACGTTTCTACAAGACGTATAAAAATACGAGACAAAAACGTAGCCAAAATCGGAGAGAAAACTTTCAATTTGTAATTAATATTGCACGTAGATAACACAATAATTATGACGTAGTTGCATCACGACTTCCGGTTTTATCAACCCCGTGGTTAAAAGTATTAACCACGGATCAAGCTGGTTCAAACCTGGACAAACTGGATTTTGTGGTAAACATTCGGATTTCCTGTCTTTCACTTGACGTAGTTTTAACCAATGATCATATTCCGGAAAAGATGAACTTTGAAACTTGCTATGTAATAATAATGAACTAAACTTATCTCATTACTATACTTCACTATATATACCTGTACATGACTGTGATATTTCATCACCATTCTTCTCCTGATGATGACTATAGTTCAGTCGAAACGTAGAGAATCATATTTCTCAAAATATTTACTTTTTACGGAGTTTCTATTTAATGATATTTATCAAAATACTCGATGGTTCCCGTAATTATACAGTTCTTATACAGTTCATTCGTTGCGACGAATGTTTACATTGTATTACACTGTAATGTCATCACCATCACCATGGCCATCACCATTTCAAATGATTATCTAATATCAAAAACTCTTTTGGTAGGTTCGGATCGAAACAACATTGTAGAAATGAGAGATCCATCTGTGAGCTACCCTTTAGACTCGGGAAAGCCACTGAAAATGTTCAGGAACGCTGAAATTGTCTGGTCAGGGGATGAAGAAACTAAGACTGGTCAAGATTTGGTAACAAGCATGGCTTCCTCGGGTTACTACAGCAGCGTACAGTGTTACCATACCAAGGCATGCACCCCGAGGAAACAGGTTCTTAATAAATTGTTAAACAACGCCCCAGCTTCCTATCGTGGCGTGCTTTTGCGATTTGCCCCGGGCGAGTATTACTACATGTGCACAAGAAATAACAACTTCAGTAATCGTAATCAGAAAGGACGACTTGTTGTTCGTGTCTAACATGTTATATAATGCTCAGTTTTTTATATAACTTTCACATTTTGGCATAGTTTTGGATTTTTTGCATGTATACGTATAGTAATTAAGCCAAATGTAGTTAATGAATCGTTTGTATTCCTCGTAATTGATTATTTTAGAAGTGCATGTATTATGGTGATTATGTATGCCATTAGTAACTGGATTAGAAAATCGTCGTTGTACCTTGACGTTTTTTGACTTTTTTCTGTATACATTCTTATGAAAGTCTGACCACCTTTCAGTAATCATTTCATCAGCAGTGTGAAAACGCTTTTGAATCGCCCGATTTACACTAGAGACAGATCATCAGTCTGGACGAACTTGGGCAATGGGAAGATAGTTCGTCTGTGTGTGAAACACGGGAAAAGAGACGGATCATCCGTCCCAACTAGTTATCATAATTATCAAAATTATCCTCTGGGCCTTGTCGGACAGCAAAGTTTCTTTTACCACGTATTCTCGACCGAAACTAATTTATTTGAGCACAAAAGAATCAAACTGTCCGGTTCGGAGGATAATTTTCCTGACTGGAAACCAGCCCTTAGTATAAATATGGGGTGAACATAAAAAAATTCATCATAAAACGGATTTTGACTTGTTTGGTACCACCGTACCAATATCTCTCAAAATGTTCTTTCAGAATCGAATATATTTGCTTCTAAAAACTGAAAATTCGTCCCTCAAAGGCCCACACACGCTGGACGCGATTTGCTAAAGAACTCTGATTCGACTCTGAAGGAACATGGGTACCAAATATGGATACCAGACGGTCCAGACCATTCAAAAAGTACTATCATTCAGTAATTACCAAGAATATCACATTATTTTCAAAATTAACTAACTTTGAAAACTAAAAATTTGTAAAAATAGCGTCGCGTTGGAAAATCGCTTCCTGAGTGTGTCGGCCTTTACAACATAAAACTCACCCTTGCCAGCCACTCGAATCTATATTAATGTGTTAATTGGCCGCGTAGCCTGTTTGAAAGTTAGGGAGAGTGCAATTAATCAATTTCTAATTTCACACCAATTGAAAAAAAATTATTCGATGGTATGGTTGCTGTGGAACCCCCGCAACAACTAACACAGCACGACACATTACATAACCACGATTTATCATAGTCATTTGAACTCATAAATATAATTAGTTAACGCCAAACAATATCCTGATTACCATTAAAGATCAGTAGCAAAAAACACCAAAAACCATTTGCAGCCTGAAGTGCTCATGTAGCCGTATTCACTGGGTATTTTCCGACAAAGCGGGATTTTGAGGAAAATTCTCCCTACTTTCCATTTTGGAGATACATTACGTCCTTTTTGTTGTCGTTTTTAGCAAAACGTGCAATGTAAAAACGAAGCTATACGAAACATTCCATGAGTTCCAAAAATTATTGGTTCTAAATTCTTGCAGTTGGTATAATCTAGAGTAGAGCATTATGGGAATCGAACCCATATACTTAGAAAAGAAAAACATTATGCTCCTTTGAACGGCAAGAATATTTTTTACAGTATTTTTTGTGGTTGAAACCTATACGTTGATTGCCCTTGGTACTGCTGGCTTAAATGAAATGCCCAGGAATGATGAATGTGTTTTAGTAAATAAAGAACTAATTTTGTTGCATCAACTCAGTTATTTAGGCGCTGTTACACTCAGCAACTTATTTTGCAACTTGTTTACGACACTGTTTGATAGTTCCCACAAGTTGCAAGTAGTATTACCATAAAACATTATAAAATCGGGCATGCAATCTTTAGGTGTATTTCTGATTTATAGTGCTTATTTAGTTAACACACAAATACAGAAGGCAATGTTAACCTTTGAAGTTATTCTGAAGTTGTAAGACTGTGAACAGGTCAATGGGTTATTTGAAAACAAATATTTAGTCCGATGCATTATAAAGGTTACGGTTGATTTGCTAATAGAAGTGGCAACACGTACACGTCATGATTAGCCCATTGCAGCAAAATTGTCTGGTGTTCAAAAGGGTAAAAGATCCATTGCTCAGAGGCTAAACCCTACTTTTGATCTTCAGTTAGTAGCAATACATGTATAACTCAGCATGTGTGCAATCTATGAAATATTCAGCCTCTTACCCAGGGTTCTATCTACACATCTGGTGCCTTGAGACACAGAGGAAATATTGATTCCATATCTCCTCTGTGCTTGAGAGTTGTGTCATAAATATTTTCATAATTCCATGAGGCTTAGCATAGCATGAGGTTGAGTATTTTGTCGTTGTTTTATATTGTATACATGTATTTAAGTAGCAAGGGAAATGTTACTGTAACAGCATGTACTGCTTTCTTTAAAATTGCTGTTAAATGTCACCAATAAAACGTTTCTCAATAAAACAAGATCAATTGATGCAGTAGCAGATGCAGTTTTAAATGCCTACATATTTACTACTGTACACATTTTACAGCAAACTTGGCACAAACCAGTTTCTTTATTCTTCCTCAACACAAAATCCCTTGCATTTTACTCCACATGTTAGTACTGTGTTTATTGTAACTGTGTTGTGTATATCAGCATAAATGTATTCAACACTGGAAAGTTATTCCATGACCAGTTGAATATATTTGTTTATTGCGGCTAGTGGCGGATCTAGGGTGTGCAGAATAAATTACACACCTTGTGTATATAGTAATTATGAAAGTTAACGACATGGTTAGATGCGCAAAATACATTATAAATTTGTCTCTGAATAATTTTATGCTTCAATATACAATTACTGAGTGGTTTCCGCGTTTGGATGGCCCGATCCAAACACGGGCTTCGACCAATCAGAACACGTGTTACATATATGTTATTTTATAATGCTGTTTAAATAAATTCAATACTATGAGACCAGATAACATACATATATTTCGCTGGACCGCCGAGGCCCCAAGCAAATAAAGTAAGATAGTTGAACGAATAACGGCGTACCCAACTCTTATAATTTATTTCAACATTATTCTTTAACGAATTTTGCAATATAGTAACAATTTATTGTAGCAATTAAAAGCCAAATCCACCTTTCGGTTTTCGCTGCGGCCATTTGTATCCACAAATACTGATTGTTGCATGGCTTTTGCTCACTTTTGTTGCATAAAAATGAAATACAGATCTAAAACGTTGGTCGATTGGCTGCTGTTTAAGTACGTAGTCCCTCATTGGCTGTGAACAACAAAACTAACCTAACAAACTTTCAAACCCGATTGCAATGTATCGGCGCTCGCAGATACTAAAACCTACCTACCACTAGTAATTCAATCGCATCCTTAAAAACCTTTAAGTCCGCAAGATCATATATAAAAAGCCTTCTACTAACGTCATTAAAGAAACTAAAGAACCGTGAAAACGATCCACCCAACCACCAAATGAGGTCATAACGCTGTTTCACCCCCCAATCAGACGCTCCCATAGAATACAACTAATGTAATCAACAGCGCAAACTTTAAAAATTCAAATTCATTGTAACAATATCACAAATTAAAGCCGCGTCTACACTAGAAGCCTAGATCTGGCCTGGACCAGGTCTTGGACAAGTTTAGGTAACATGTGCCACGTTCACACTGACTTCCTTGTTAGTGATATTGGATATAGCCAAAGTGATTAACCAAATACTTGGAAAAAGACCCAAAACACGCCGAAAAGTGGTAATACTATATGTATCCGATACAAATCATATACTATTAAGTTCAAAATTTGTCAGAACTAGGTAAAGTCTGTTCACATTACCAAATCTTGCCCCAGGTAAGGTCCAGGCCACCTTCTGCTGTTGGCCTGGATTTTGTGGTCTAGGCCGGATAAACACAGTTCACATTTAGGCCTATGCCTGGCCCAGGCCAGGTTAAAGCACGTAGTGTAAACACGGCTTAAAACTCGAAGTACGGAGGAAAGCGTAATAAAAAAAATTCTAAAATCCAGGGAACCTATTTCACATCACACAATATGCCTGGATTACAAATCTACAAACATGCAGTACATTGTTAAGTTGTTTGTTTAACGGGTAGTGAAAATACCATGAACCATCCAAATGTGCGAGTAGGAAGCGTCTGAATAGCTCTACGGTATAAGGCATCCTTCTCGCAGTGGCGTAGCCAGCCTGACGATTTAGTCATGCTATGCAAATTTTATGTTATTAACATTATTCATTTCTTTAGAAATTCATTGTTTTCACAGTCGATGAACACCAAAATATTAGCATAGCATGAGTAAATTGTCGGGCTGGCTACGCCATTGCCTTCTCGCCACAGGATACAACCGTATTATCTTACTGCAGCGCATAAAGGTGGATATTAGTTGGAATATGGTGAGAATGCAAGGTTCTAGAATATATCTGTGAGCCCTGAGTGCTACATTGGGCGCCAGATGGATATAAAGTGAAAGTATAAACCTTTGCAGAAAGTCATCTCTACATGAAAATGCATCAGATTGTCAGTAGGTCAGTAAAAGTCGTATCGTGCAGTCTATATTATCACATTGGCTGCTAGTGAAATATAGATAAAACCATTCAATTTAACCGCAGACGAATGATGCGACAAGACGAACTACCCATTCAAACACAGACGAACTATAGAAGACGAACTATCCTCCCCTTGCTAAAGTTCGTCCAGACTGATGATCCGTCTCTAGTATAAATCGGGCCATTCAAAAGCGTTTTCACACTGCTGATGAAATGATCAGTGAAAGGTGGTCAGACTTTCATAAGAATTTATACAGAAAAAGTCAAGAAACGTCAAATAACAACAACAATGGAGTTACTAATGGCATACATAATACCATAATACATGCACTTCTAAAATAATCAATTACGAGGAATACAAAAGATGCATTAACCACATTTGGCTTAATTACTATACGTATACATGCAAAAAATCCAAAACTATGCCAAAATGTGAAAGTTATATAAAAAACTAAACATTATATAACATGTTAGTCTCGAACAACAAGTCTTCCTTTCTGATTACGATTACTGAAGTTGTTATTTCTTGTGCACATGTAATAATACTCACCCGGGGCAAATCGCAAAAGCACGCCACGATAGGAAGCTGGGGCGTTGTTTAACAATGTATTAAGAACTTGTTTATTCGGAGTGCATGCCTTGTTATGGAAACACTGTACGCTGCTGTAGTAACCCGAGGAAGCCATGCTTGTTACCAAATCTTGACCAGTTTTAGTTTCTTTATCCCCTGACCAGACAATTTCAGCGTTCGTGAACATTTTCAGTGGTTTTCCCGAGTTTAGGGGGTAGCTCACAGATGGATCTCTCATTTCTACAATGTTGTTTCGATCCGAACCTACCAAAAGAGGTTTTGATATTAGATAATTATTTATATTGTGATGGGTCTACGCCTGCCGAATGACACTCCAGTGTAATACAATGTAAACATTCGTCGCAACGATATTTGCATGCCATAGTCTAAAATTTCAAATTTGTAATATCACAACCTCCAATTTTACAACCAAACATCTACAAAAAATTAATTATTAATAACCAATTAATATTGTCCGTGCGTAAAATTTAGTCAATTGATTCAACCAGAATGCTCTCATTCTTCGTCTTGGCAAAATTGTATAATTACGGCAACTGTATAACTACCGGAACTATGGAGTATTTTGATAACTAATATAAAATGGAAACTGCGTAAAAAGTAAACATTTTCAGAAATATATAATTTTCTAGTTTATAGTCATCATCAGGAGAAGAATATGGTGATGAAATAACATAATTATGTGCAGGTATATATATAGTGAAGTATAATAATGAGATGAGTTTAGTTCATTATTATTTTATAGCAAGTTTCAAAGTTCATCTTTTCCGGAATCTGATCATTGGTTAGAACTACGGCACGTGAAAGACGTTTACCACAAAATCCTGTTTGTCCAGGTTTGAACCAGGTTTATCGGGGTTTAATACTTTTAACCACCGGGGGTTAATAAAACCGGAAGTCGTGATGGTACTACGTCGATATTATTGTGTTAGCTACGTTCAGTGTTAATTACAAACTAAAAGTTTTCTCTCCGATTTTGGCTACGTTTTTGCTGAGTATTTTTATACGTCGAATAGAAACGTACAAAATTCGTTTTTTCAAAAGCGTTTTACGGAGTTTTCATTTTTGCTTGACATCATTTTAACATACCTGCTGTACCCTGGCCATTGTTGTTCTGAGGATTGGTATTGGAACCTTAAGATAAGCAGATTTTATCAGAAAATGTCATTGCTTCTTTAGTCGAATACTCAGAGAAGTATATCACGTTACGCCCCCATATTTACATTGGGGGGACATAAATCAAATTCGAAATACGAGACGATTTAGATAAATTAAAATATTACAGATATTTTTGAGCAAGACAACGTATTATTGCCACCAAAATTTACCAGAAATATTAATTTTAACAGCAACTCACCAGTCCACGCGATATGGACAAGACTTGTACTTGAAACTTCCAATCGTTTTGGGATAAAGTCGTATTCCACAGCCGGAAATGTTTGAACGATATTCCCGCGCTTTCCTCGTACGTTCAAATTGTAGATGACGTCATTATCTGACACAGTCTCGGGTCTTGGTATAAGTTTGAATAAATGTGATCTGTCTTGAAAAGTTCGTCCAAACTGTGCGGTGTTGATTGCAAGTTGCAATGGCATCTGCACTTGGCCAATTTTTTCAGTTGGATTGTTTTTGACTGGCGAATTCACACCGTTCTCCCTTGTAAGAAACGAAAAAACATCTTTGAGATGGAAGTATTTTTGTTTAAACCCAATAAGCAGCAGTCGAAGATTTATTGATTGTGAAGTCGAGGATCTCGCTTGCCGTTGTTTAGCAAATATTTATAAACGATTTTTGCCTTAAAGCCGACAAATTTCATCGTTTGAGCAGGTAAATTTGAGCAAACACTTCACAGCGACAAGACTATAGGTGATATTATCATTGCTCTCCTAAAGGAATACACGAAGCGATTTGTTGCAGCGACGTGCTGCAGCGATTTTCACCTAGTGTGTACCTGTCCCGATAATTATCATATTTTACATGAAGTCATCATTTAAAACCACACGTGCCAATTTCTGACAATGTCTACGCCCAGATTTGGTACTATACCCTATATACGACTATAGTATTTATTCTTTAATTTATTCATTCATAAAATTTATTCAACCAAACTAGCGATACACAACATAGGTACAATCTGTTGATTTACATATTAGGCGTGTATTATTTAACAAACAGACTATACTGGTGGGAATGCTGCATGCGCTTGATTGATAAATCCAGGATGTTTTTTTCGCCTCAGATGGAAGGTTATTCCACAGCGATGTACCAATATACCTAAAACTCCGTTTGAGATGCTTTGTTTTAGGTTGTGGAAGTGTTTGGTTTGCTATATCAGTGTCGGCCTATCGCAAGTTACTCTCTCGATTAAATCTTTGATCTTTAAAAATTTTTCTCAAAGACTCGGAGCGGACTGCTCATTAAGAATAAAAATTTGTACATAAAAATACTCTTCAATCTTTCTCGTCTTATACGTCAAGTGTGGACCATTGCAGATCTTTTAGAACATTTGCTGAACTGGCATCAAAATTTGCTCCTAATATAACTCAACCCGCTTTATTTTGGAGTTTTTGTAATTTATCCTTATAGACTTTGCTGCATGTATCCAACAAAGGGGAGCAATAATCAAATCACGGCTGGATCAGTCATCAGCGCATAATATAACATTTTTAATGAAAGCAAAGACACGAAAGGTTTGACTCTCCTTAGGGAACCAATTCCCGAACATACCTTTGTACATATAATATTCTCAATATAAACACTTATGTGAAATGACCGATTCAATTATGCTAATATTCATAATAATTCTATTAGTTACTTCATTGCTTTTGGCATTCAGATTATGAGCGGATGCTATTAACAAAACACTTTTTTCGCATCTGACTGAGTTTGTTTACGGTAACTAGTCCATTATATTAATTAAGACAGAATTTAATTTTTCAATAAATCCTCAGTATTATAAAAATAAGCATAATATACTTGTGTGTCATTGGCATAGTTTTATAGACCTGGAACTGTCGATTTCAGACAGTTTGGACTTTGGAAGATAATTAATATAAATAAAAAAATAAGGACCTAATATGGATCCTTGGGGAATGCCGCAAATTATGGGCATTCCTGAAATCTTGGCGGAAACTGGATTGAAATTTCGAAAAAAGTGAATTTACATGGAAATATTGGTAAATTTGTCGAAAGACTTCTTTTTCGAAAACTTCAATAATATTGGCAATATAGATATCGGTCTATAGCTAATTTCCAAGATTTCGACAACTTCCTCCTTATAAATTTGATTTACTCGTTCATTTTTAGGCGGGAGCTATAATATTTGGCGCAATTTTTTACATTTTGACAGGAATTTTATGATAGCCTTGACAGTACGTTTACACATAAAACGTTCTCGAAGCTGAACAGACAATTTGAGCAATTAACTTCTAAGTAATTAGATATTTCTCAAACAGATATTTGATACTTACGGATTATCATTCTTGTCGCCGAATGTGCTGAATGGTGGATAATCTCCCGTAGAAATATTGTACCTGCGGGTTGTACGAACATATTCGTCACATTAATTTGTACTCCTTAAGACGCATTCACGAATGTAAATATGACGATCTGTATAGAAATTTGCATAGCGGAACTAAAACTAGCAGATAATTTACGACTTCCTCTTATCCCTAACTACCTAGAAAAATTATGCGTTTACAATTTTGCAAATTGATGGCAAAAAGTATTTGATGTAAGGCGGAGACGTTTAAATATGGCTGGTTTGTACTAGATAGTTGCGGTCTATTTCCGACATTAGTCTTTTACCTGTTTCTAACTTTTATTATTTACACTTTGCCGCGTTTATATACACGAATTTGTAACATACAAAGTAGAGTTCCCAAAAAGAATTAAAGAAATAAAATTATAGCAATTCTACGACTTACCTTATTCTTAGAACGCATCTTTGTGTACGAGCAGACGGAAAATATGGAAGAACCCAATTGTAGCGAAGTGGAACTACATCACGGGCATTCCCTAAATGATTCGATCTTGTATACGGAACTACCTTGCATTCAGGTGGATCGAGTGCAACCAAACAACGTTTTAATGATTCAACATCATTACCAGTCATCTTCAAATTTTCGATATCTTCAGAGCGATAAGGAATGGCCCAGACAAGACGAAGTTTGTCAGAACTTGCGGCTGCGCATTCTTGCTCTGTTTGATGCGCAGGATATTCTTCTAAAAAGTTGCTGAATGGCACCCAGAATCCTCCATTGTTTTCGCAGTCAATTTTGTTGTTGTGAACCGAGTCATGTCGAAAACCATCTGATTTGGCGGAGTAGTATTCAAGGCACTCGTCTGCAAAAAAGTTAGAGCATTTATGAAAAATGCGGGATGTTTTTCAAGTTAAAAACCTGGCATAACAAACAATACGACAATACGAAGTGAAAATATATTAACATAACAAAACCCTGCATTATATATACTATGACACATGTATATGCCTTGTTGTTAAAAAACTCCGCAGTATAATAATATTATACAGTATGACATGTGCCACGTTGGTCATATTCGGCAAATTTTCTCCCGGTAAAGAGGGCTCAGTTTTTCAGCGGTCTTCGCATAAAAAATTAAAAGCTTTTCGTTTTACGCCTTGCTCTCAATTTTATGTAAGTTGTCCGCTGACAATATGAGCCTGCACGAGTGGGAGAAACTTAGCTAAGTTGGACCAGCGTGTGCGGACACGTGGATACGCAGTCAAAAGCATAAGAATAATAAGGCAGGAAAAATTTAAGATGTAATATGTGTGTATAGGTATAATTTTGATTGGATATGCGTTTACGTAGTAGTAATATAATATGTATGTATACAATATAATGCATAACATAGTAATGTAGTACCGGTAATCAACTGTCAGTGCATGATGATATCTGATACACGAAGACGATTCTAACTGATGTGTTGAGCATAAGCAACACGGATATGAATATGCTTATCGTTGAATACTTTTTCATGCTTGCAGTGAGCGATCACTGCCATCCAAGAAAACATATTTATTAAAATGTATGTCGAAATAAACCACTTCTTCGAATTCTTATCAGACTGAAACAAAATCCATTTAAAGTTTGATTAAATCGGCGAACAGTCTTGATTGGATCCTAATGACACGATCGTTATGCATATTGCGGTGGAATCCCCTATAGTTAGCTTCTTGAAAAGAAACTCAAGATTTTGAGTAAAAAGTCAAATATTCATAGATTTAGGCACGCCATCATATACTCGCTATAATCCGTGTGCTACGAAAAAATCGAACAATTTTTCACTCAACAGGTAAAGGCAATGTCAACACTTACGCTTAGGTTTGACGTTGAAACTTTCTTCTTTATAATACTTGCACATGCTTTCATTAAAAGCGAACACTGCCATATCAACCCAGTCAGTAGGATGCCAGTAAGGATAGTAATCTCGTTCCTCAGGACATTCATAGCCACTACGAGCTCCATTTGCATTTTGTCGGGTGTAAATACTTGTCTTCCCTTGCAGCTTTTGATCAGCGGTGAAAAGTCCTAGGCAGAGAATAGAGAGTTTTCGATTCACAGCTTGGTAACAAACGCGGCCCAAGCCAATTCGTTCTATATAAGCGCCCTGGTTCTATTCTGTTCCTTATTCCTTATTTTAAGCCCCAAGGCGACGCGATTTTTAAACGATATTTATTTTTTAATAAATTAGTTATTTATTAAAGGCTTACTAGAAATACATGCATGCAGAAACCCCTCGCCCCTGTTTAACAAAATTAGTTAAGCATAGGGATGGTAAGGTAACATGATTGTTAGAAAATTTATGTATGTGAGAAAAAGAAATTGAGAAAAATATGGAAATATTTTTCTGCACGTGGAAGCACTGTAGTCATAGCAACTCGCAACGGCCGTATATTTTTAAAGAATCAAAGTTTACCCACTGGTTTACCCTCATATTTTTGTGAAAAAATGGCAAAAATACGACAAGATTCTTACCTTTTTCTGGAAGTTAAGTTACTCATCTATAGTCAGTGTTATGGTAAATTATTTTAATTATTAAATACCATGAAATATAACATCAGACGTCTCATACAACTTCCGAAGTTTTATGTTAAGCTTCGACTGGTTCTTGCACGGGAATGTTTTGATTTTCTTTTCTTTTTGTCATTATGAAAACGGAGTTTATAAATGAAATTAAAATGTCGTTTATCACATAACACATTCAGATTTATAGTGAAATACATTTGAGAATATTAAAGTTGTGTTTACCACAAAAGAATTACTTTTTAAAGCTGTGGATGAAATATTATCAAATTTAAAATCCTCCGACGTTATTATACACGGTGAATTCGTTCAAAAATTTGGTCTTCTTATTTGTCAAACCGTGAAAAGTCCTGACAACATTCGAGTTTCCCTCTAATTAATTAAAAATACATATATTCTTTATTTTATGAAAACATAAAATTTATAAATTTCATCAAAATTTTGCGAAATGACAGTTATTTATTGACGTTTGAAAATACAAATTTTTGCTCCGCCAATCAAGAGCTTAGTAGTTCACACTGGCGCATGCGCAGAACGTAGAAGACCGTCCATGGCGTGAGGTCCATTGCATAATGGCGGACAACTTTCATTTCGCATTTGCATTTGCACATCGTGGGTGTAAATATCCGAGCGGAATTAGTACCCTCGCACGGTGCTCCGCACCGGCTCGGGGAAAAGGCTTTTCAAATCTATAACAAATAGGGTTGTCATAAAGATGTTTTGAATTTAAAACTAAGCCGTGTACTTATTCCGCACATTCCTAGATCCGTTTTCGTTCTTTCATTTAATTAGGTCTATAACGTCAGTATGTAATTATCATTTACTCAAATCTTACCTCCAGTTGTTTGGCCATCATCATTAAAAGCATTAGCGATTGATCCTAAGGAAAAAACATTGTCAGAAGCTGAGGCGGGTAATTAAATGTATAATGGAGTTGAAGAAAGAAAGGTTCATGTTTTTAGCATTCACATCCAGGCAAGAGGTTTGCAAGATTCAGCTGTTTTTGATGTGTTGGATGGCTCAGTAGAATATAATTATACTCAAGAATTTATGACATAAAACAAAGAGAAACGTGTATGTATAAAAATTGATGTAATATAGTTATAATCTTCCGTATCTGATTAAAACACTACTAGATGGTTCCCTTGAAGATTCTATTTCATGCTGTGAGTGAATATTAGGATCAAAACCTGCAAATGATCTTCTTTTTCTTCCAGAACCTGTCATAAAAACGCAAAATACAATCAAACTCTAGTAAAACAATTCCGAAAATTTTACTCCATTAAAACGTTGCATGCTTCCTAATTCTTCAATTAAGTTTGCAACAGTTTATCAGAAACGTGATTTGTTATGATTTTGTGCCTGGGATAAACAGGCGTTGCATTCTAGTTTACTTAACCTTCAGGGGTCAGTTGTTCGAAAGGCGTTTGCTTAAACGGTGGGTTATAACCAAAGTTTAAAAGTACTCTCATACAACTTTTCCATGACTGGACTTGCATCTTATGCATTTAAAAAGTACTTCCATTGAAAATTAAACTATTTACATCGAAATATTTATATATGCTCACCGCTTGCACAGATCCCCCATGACGTTGAATCTGTTGTTATTCCGCACCACAATGTATTTCCATAGTCCACTGTTGTGCATGCGCTATATTTTATGCCATTATAATAAAATGGGAAAACGCAACATTTTCCCGATGTAGTCTTCGCGGCACAGTTAGCTCCTAGAAAATAATAGTAAATAATAATAATAATTCTATATTTCTATAGCGCTTATATTATATTCCAGAATTGCCCACGTACGAGCACTTTACAAATTTAGATACGATAAAATTAAGTTAACAATTTCTAGTTTGCAAATTATTTATAAACCTATATAAAAAGAGCTATATAAAATCACTACATTTTTATAAAATAGAATACAGTTACAAACTAAACATGTTCAGAATTAAATTGAATATGCTTTTTTAAATAGCTCAGTTTTAAGAGCCTTTTTAAACTCCTTTATATGTTCCAACAACCTCAGCTCTAACCATACAGACCGAAAAGGCCCAATAGCTGTACGTCTTAGGCCGGTAAGATTGGGCCTTGAGTAAAAATTTGTTTGCTGATCTAAGATTCCTTCCTCGTCTATAAAGTTCTGGAAGTTCATTTAGGTCAGATGCCACTCCGTGCACAACCTTATAAGTATACAGGAGAATCCTGTATTCAATACGCTGTTCCACAGGTAACCAGTGCAATTACATCAACACTGGAGTGATATGATCATATTCATTTTATGCGTCAGCGACACTGGTCTTGCAGCAGAGTTAAGGACATTGTAAGCGCTTTGTCTTATACTTGGGTAAAGAACTGCATTACAATGATCTACTTTAGATGTCACAAGCGCGTGAACCAGAGTGTTTGCAGTATGCAAACTTAGAAATTTCCTTATGCATGAAATTGCCTTTATAGAATAGCTAACTAGAATAGCTGTCCAAGCTAACATGAGGATAAAAAATTACACCAATGATTTTTGCATGTTCAGAAGGCTTATAAGTTGTACACTTGCAACTTGCATACAGTTTAGATATGGAGCAGGACGGTGTTTAGCATGAAAGACTAAGATCTTTGTATTATCATCAGGGTTAAGTTGCAGGTTGTTATGAAGCATCCACACATTTATGTCACTCAAACACGCCTCTCAAGTTTGGCGTGCTCGAGATCGCAAGCATCAGATGTATTAAAAGTGTAGTAGATCTGCCTTTCAACAGCGTTTTGATTTAAACAGACCCCATGAGTGCGCATAATGTCACCTAGTCGTGCCATGTAGAGGGAGAACAGAACGAGAACAGACTCAGAACGAGAACGGACTCATCAAGCGTCAACGAGAGCACATCCTTTCCATCATCAATCGAGCGAAAGATGTCGTTTTGCACCCTCAAAAGTGCTGACTCCGTACTGTGACCTACTTCATAAGCTGACTGCAAAATCTCTGCTAGTCCATTTACATTCAGACGATCGTTCAATTGCATAGCTACGACTCGTTAGCATAGCTTCGATATAAACATTATGTTGGATATTGGTCTGTGGTGACAATACAGCTCATAGTGCAATGACAACTTTTCAGTAAGGGGTCTAGCAGCGTTTCTAGCTTTCATGCAATTGGGCACTATTCTTTCACTAATTGAAAGATTAACCATCCTAGTCAAAACAGGCAGTAATACATTTAAACATTTGTTCAGTACTTTTGCAGGTAGAGGATCAAGATGGCATGATTTAACTGGATTACTCCGAATGATGTCGAAAAGCTCCTGAGAGGTAACTTGATTTAACTCAAATAGTGTAGCCACAGGGGCAGATACATATCCAATAACTCAATCTTCCAACCTTGTGTGCGCGCTTACGCCTGCATCAAATTGTCTGACACATTAATAACTCACTAAACGTATTCCATTTTTAGACCTGCATCCAGTCAAACTGGATTTTCAGGAAACAATTTGGCAAGCGGAAGCCACTTTTGACAATGTTTTTCTACAAATTTCTGTACAGGTATATACAGGCAAAATATTTACTTAACGATGCGTGCGCATACGCCTAGAAGACAAGAACCAAGTGTATTAATAATATACATGCACTATATAATTATGGGCAATAATTATATTGTGTGTATGATTATTCTTATTATTATGTGTGCCATATATATACACATTATATATGTGCGCTAGTCTAATCAGGAAACGTGAAATTCAAGTGGAATTTCCCCTTTTTACTTTTTAAACATACCTGAATTCTGAGGATTGCTTTTTGACCCTTTAAAAAAATGAAATAACCGTCTCAATGTAAGAATATTATGCAGCGATTGCCGGGAAAAACTTATTCGCAATTTTGTGATTCCTTCGCAGGAATTTAATTTCCATATAAGTTAACATTGTGCATACTTTGGATTCTCGGTAATTCTGCTGACTTATCCAAGAAAGCATCGGCTTTCTGTTTTAAATTAACATAGTTACATATTATCGCTCACCGCTTGCACAGTACCCCCATGACTTTGTTGTTCCGCACCACAATGAACCCCCACTGCCCGCTGTTGTGCATGCGCTATATTTTATGCCATTATAATGAAATGGGAAAACGCAACATTCTCCCGATGTAGTCTTCACGGCACAGTTAGCTCCTAGAAAATAATGGGAAATAATAATATTAATTCTATATTTCTATAGCGCTTGTATTATATTCCAGAATTGCCCACGTACGAGCAGTTTACAAATTTAGATACGATAAAATTAAGTTAACAATTTCTAGTTTGCAAATTATTTATAAACCTATATAAAAATAGCTATATAAAATCACTACATTTTTATAAAATAGAATACAGTTACAAACTAAGCATGTTCAGAATTAAATTGAATATGCTCTTTTAAATAGCTCAGTTTTAAGAGCCTTTTTAAACTCCTTTATATGTTCCAACACCCTCAGCTCTAACCATACAGACCGAAAAGGCCCAATAGCCGTACGCCTTAAGCCGGTAAGATTGGGCCTTGAGTAAAAATTTGTTTGCTGATCTAAGATTCCTTCCTGGTCTATAAAGTTCTGGAAGTTCATTTAGGTCAGATGCCACTCCGTGCACAACCTTATAAGTATACAGGAGAATCTTGTATTCAATACGCTGTTCCACAGGTAACCAGTGCAATTACATCAACACTGGAGTGATATGATCACATTTATTTTATGCGTCAGTGACACTGGTCTTGCAGCAGAGTTTAGGACATATTGTAAGCGCTCTGTCTTATACTTGGGTAAAGAACTGCATTACAATGATCTACTTTAGATGTCACAAGCGCGTGAACCAGAGTGTTTGCAGTATGCAAACTTAGAAATTTCCTTATGCGTGGAATTGCATTTATAGAATAGCTAACTAGAATAGCTGTCCAAGCTAACATGAGGATAAAAAATTACACCAATGATTTTTGCATGTTCAGAGGGCTTATAAGTTGTACACTTGCAACTTGCATACAGTTTAGATATGGAGCAGGACGGTGTTTAGCATGAAAGACTAAGATCTTTGTATTATCATCAGGGTTAAGTTGCAGGTTGTTATGAAGCATCCACACATTAATGTCACTCAAACACGCCTCTTAAGTTTGGCGTGCACGAGATCGCAAGTATCAGATGTATTAAAAGTGTAGTAGATCTGCCTTTCAACAGCGTTTTGATTTAAAAAGACCCCATGAGTGCGCATAATGTCACCTAGTCGTGCCATGTAGAGGGAGAACAGACTCAGAACGAGAACGGACTCATCAAGCGTCAACGAGAGCACATCCTTTCCATCATCAATCGAGCGAAAGATGTCGTTTTGCACCCTCAAAAGTGCTGACTCCGTTCTGTGACCTACTTTATAAGCTGACTGGAAAATCTCCGCTAGTCCATTTACATTCAGACGATCGTTCAATTGCATAGCTACGACTCGTTCACATAGCTTAGACGTAAACATTATGTTGGATATAGGTCTGTAGTGACAATACAGCTCATAGTGCAATGACAACTTTTCAGTAAGGGGTCTAGCGGCGCTTCTTTCATGCAATTGGGCACTATTCTTTCACTAATTGAAAGATTAACCATCCTAGTCAAAACAGGCAGTAATATATTTAAACATTTGTTCAGTACTTTTGCAGGTATAGGATCAAGATGGCATGATATAACTGGAATATTCCGAGTGATGTTGAAAAGCTACTGAGAGGTAACTTGATTGAACTCAAATAGTGTAACCACAGGGGCAGATACATATCCAGGATACGAGAAAGTGACTTCGAGTCGGGTCAGTTAGAAATGGCGCATTAGTCAGCTTCGTTTTAAAATTATTTAAAATGATCTTTTTCCATCTTCTTTACATCTTTTTTCATCCACCTCAATCTTCCAAACTTGTGTGCGCGCTTACGCCTGCATCAAATTGTTTGACACATTAATAACTCACTAAACGTATTTCATTTTTAGACCTGCATCCAGTCAAACTGGATTTTCAGGAAACAATTTGGCAAGCGCAAGCCACTTTTCACAATGTTTTTCTACAAATTTCTGTACAGGTATATACAGGCAAAATATTTACTTAACGATGCGTGCGCATACGCCTAGAAGACAAGAACCAAGTGTATTAATAATATACATGCACTATATAATTATGGGCAATAATTATATAGTGTGTATGATTGTTCTTAATTTATTATATGTGCAATATATATACACACTATATATGTGCGCTAGTTTAATCAGGAAACGTGAAATTTAAGTTGAATTTCCCTTTTTTACTTTTTAAACATACCTGAATTCTGAGGATTGCTTTTTGACCCTTTAAAAAAATGAAATAACCGTCTCAATGTAAGAATGTTACGCAGCGATTGCCGGGAAAAACTGCTCTGCGAATGGCATGCTAAAATTAGCAGCCTACACTCGGCGTAAAATGTTTTAGCATTTCGCTTACCGACTACACATTCATCCCATGTTGAGGTTTGAGTTGTTGTTCCACACCATAATGTATTTCCATAATTCACCGTTGTACAGGAATCATACCGATTACCGAGATAATAAAATGGGAAAACACAACATCTGCCTGATTTAGTCACCTTGGCACATTTGATTCCTGCAAAATAATATTTCTGACTTAGGATAATCTACACTTGGCCTTGCGGACGAGGACTAGTTGGTGGCATGCGATATGGATCATATGGACCAAGTTTTATAATTCGACCAACTTGAATCAACTTCGCTCCCTCCTTTTATACGGGACTTTTCTTCTGCTAGATTTTTTTATTTGGAAATGATCAATTTGAGAGCGACACGCTTTTTCCAACCGATGTAACTGACCAGTCTTACCTACACGATTTCGTTTGGCGCATTTGTCATACCATTCCCATGGTTCATGAAGACCTCGATGAAAACCGGCTGAGTCAGCCTTTAGCCTATTGACCTTCTCTGAGCGACTGGTGAAGTCACCTTTCACGTACCCTGGAGTAGTCGTTTCACGTCCTAAAAGTATATATAATGCAAAGTTTTATCACCAAAAATGTATGTCAAAACATCGTCATCTGCTCTATGTCGTTCATTCTTTCTCTGTTCCATGCGTATAATGACCGTAGCCGAAAGTGAACTTACACTAATGATGCTTTCCAACCAAGCTGCGAACTTAAGTACATGTAGATTAATACTATCTTGGGTTTTGTAACAAATACAGGTGCTTGGGGTTGTGGCCGGTTATTACAACTTGCAGTATATAACATAATTCATTCATAATTCAGAAAACGAACTTTTTAATCGCCAAATTACAACGCCAAAACATTAAAATTAAAATAAAAATGCTCAATAGCATATAATATAGACATTTTCAGCTTGCATGCAAATTAATCTATTTCAGACGTTGTGACCATGGAATAGTCAATAAAACTTGACCATTTTAGACCACGTGATTAAAAATGGTTAATTTGCATACAAGCTGAAAAGGTCTATTAGTAGCTAGTAACTATATATTTTGCGAACACATTGCCAATGTCACGAGTTTCTCAATTAATGAAAAATTATTTATTCTCATACCATTTCTCATTGTGTGATAGTTCAACGCTTGATGCTTCGTTTCATCTTGACATCGATATTGAAGAACAAAATTACAATTTAAATCTCGGTCACCACAACCATGTTGATTTGTCCATTCAATTGTGAGCTGCGATTTTCCAGTCAGGCCTGAATTATTTATATGGCCTTTGCCACTCTGGAAGTAGTGCTAAAAAACACGCAACTTTAAGATACTTTATTTCACATTGGTTCAGGATGAACAGTCATTAATTGAATGATTGAAATGATAATGAACATGATGACTATTATGATTCATGATACCTGGTACAACAGGCAATTACTGGGTTAGTGATGTGTTTTATGGTGAGTTATTATGCTATCTGCTCTGCCGAGCCATCTGTTTTAGTTTTCAATTTTTGGCCAAATGAATGTTCACAGTTTTTGCAAAAAATTAATAAGGTCTTAAAGAAAAATAGGCCTCAAGCTTTAAATAAACAGCTGATTTATACCATGTTAAATTGTGTCTCCTCGCTGTTAGATGCTTGATTTTTGTCGCCAACATTGTAACCACCATTAGCGTTGTTCTACAAAAATCGAAAGAAATATATGGATTGTGGAATGAGTTAAAAAAATGCCTCGGTTTGAAGCATAAATCTTAAATACCATATATTTATAGTTGAAAATTTAGCTTAATGAAAAATTGAAACGTTCTCTGGTTGTAAATATTTAATTTGCAACGAGCTTTGGGCTTCCAGACTGCAGCCTTCAACGGTATAGTTCTATCTGTTCAATAAAAACGGGTATTGTTCGGGTAAATTGCTTAGCAAATTAAATATTTACAACCAGAGAACGTTACTTTCAATTTTCTATTAACTTAACTCAATGAGTTTACTTATTCACAACCCCCCCCCCCCCTAACCCTAACTCTATTGTTTCCGATTATTTCGGTTTTTTCTGCAAATCCACCGATTTTCTAAACAGCAGATTTTGCAAAGACGCGATCGACCATTTCTTTCAGAAATGTGGTTTTGCCTGTTGGGCGTATAAGCCTTACCTGAGAGTCGAACAATCGATTGTTGTTTTGCCTCGCTTTTTGGTTGCCATTTAGACGGTTGTTAGAGCCTCTTGGATTGTGTAGAAACAAATCAGCATCAATAAGACTGACCAGCAGCCCAGCTAGAGCAAAATATAGAATGGGTTCATGGAAACAGCTTGTAATTTCTATGCGGTACATTTGTTACTCGCACGAGGGCACGAACCCTCCTCTGGGAGCGTAAGGGATAGCCGCGCTGCAGAGAATTTTTGAAATCGAGCTCTTCCAAATGGGAATTTCAGTATCATGAGGACACTTTTGGGAAAAAATTTTGGTGTATAAAAGAACTAATATTGGTGCATTTTGTGAAAACACGATTAATTTGGGAAGTACTATTTCCTTTGCAAGAAACTATTTTGGGAATATCTATTTTTTCCTATTTTCTATCCAAAACTCAATTTTTAGAACTGATCCTTTTAGGCCTTCAAACTACCAATTTCCCAAAAAGAACAGCCCATTTTAGGAAATGGGAGGCCTAATGATGATTCTTCGGCCACATTGGATTATAGCTTTCATATTCTGTGGCATTAAACCATATGTAAAATATGGTTTAACTACGAACATTTTACCATTTTCGTCAGTGTAGTTTTGTGAATTACTCGAGGTGAGTCACACTTGGGCTGAAATCGTTGGCTTTTTTAAGAATTCTCAGCAGTTACAGAACATATAAGATCGATAAGCGCCATTGTTCCAATAAATTCGGTATCTTTTACCACCAAAATTAAAGGCAGAACTAGAAGTCACATTGTTGAGGGTCAGTTAGGTTATACTAAAGTTTCTTTCAAATGCAAAGAATTTGAGTTAACCAATCAGGAGATTGCATGCTGTTTTTGCGCTGAACTTGCAAATGTAACAACGAGTATGGAACTTTGGATTTTGTATTGCGCTGTAACAATGGTTGGTGTACTCTCCGGACGGTATTTTCCTCTTCGAACTTGGAGATTGAATTCCTCATGCATATATTAAGCAAATAATGAACCCTTACCTGCTAGAATAATACTTGTTGCTGGCAGCTTGTAATTCAACGCCATTCTTAATGAAAAAGCAGAAAGTTAGAAAAAGTTTCCCTTGTTAAAATCAAGCTTGGAATGTCTTATTAATTCTTATTATTATCTTAATATCTTATTATTAAACTCAAGCATGCTTTAAACGTAAAGGGAGACGCTCAATTTGAATGCCTTAACTCAATTACCATCCTTTTTACCAGGGCATTAATCATGCATTCGTATAATCAAATTGCAATAGAAGCTTCATCTCACACACACTGTCATTACAGTGGCGTAATAGAGTCGAAAATTGGGGTGCCAATATTCATATATTCATGTTAAGTGACTGTAAAGACAATTGATTTCAAAAGAAATTGATAAACATGAATGTATGAATATTTGCCCCTCCCTAATTTTTGATGCTAGCTACGCCACTGACTCTGCAGTAATTAAGTGCAAGTCAGTTATAATTATGTTCGGGTAAATTTGCATATGAGTATGAGCATGGGCGCTTTCCGTAAACATGGCAGACGGGTCCTATTCAGTACAGACAGATTACTGGCACGCGCAAACGAATTGTTTATTCTAATGCATATATGTCCCATCTCATATTTCATATAATATATTTCATATAAACCTAATGCGAATTGATGCTAAATGAATCAAATTAATGCTTCTTATCACATGCACCAGAAATTGTAAAGTAAATGGTTACGTTTGCGCTACAAAGATAATAAAGCGTTGTTTCGTCTTATTAACATAGGTCACAGAAATGCTTGTGTTTTAGATGTTCGCTTTTCTTCTACCCACGCTAGCTACGTATTACTGGAAATAGTGTGCACACAAAACTATATCCACCCTAGCTACGTACAACTCGAAATAGTGTGCACACAAAACAATATCCACCCTAGCTACGTACAACTGGAAATAGTGTGCACACAAAACTATATCCACCCTAGCTACGTACAACTGGAAATAGTGTGCACACAAAACTATATCCACCCTAGCTACGTACAACTGAAAATAGTGTGCACACAAAACTATCCACGCTAGCTACGTACAACTGGAAATAATGTGCACACAAAACAATATCCAACCTAGGTACGTACAACTGGAAATAATGTGCACACAAAACTATATCCACCCTAGCTACGTACAACTGAAAATAGTGTGCACACAAAACTATCCACCCTAGCTACTTACGACTGGAAATAAGGTGCACACAAAACTATTCACCCCCCTAGCTACGTCAACTGGAAATAATGTGCACACAAAACTATCCACGCTAGCTACGTACAACTGGAAATAGTGTGCACACAAAACAATATCCAACCTAGCTACGTACAACTAGAAATAGTGTGCATACAAAACTATCCACGCTAGCTACGTACAACTGAAAATAGTGTGCACACAAAACAATATCCAACCTAGCTACGTACAAATGGAAATAGTGTGCACACAAAACTATATCCACCCTAGCTACGTACAACTGGAAATAGTGTGCACACAAAACTATAACAAACCTAGCTACGTACAACTGGAAATAGTGTGCACACAAAACTATATCCAACCTAGCTACGTACAACTGGAAATAGTGTGCCCACAAAACTATATCCACCCTAGCTACGTACAACTGGAAATAGTGTGCACACAAAACTAGTCGTTAGCTTATGTAACTCACCAGAACGATTTGGAAATTAATATCAAAATCGTGAAACTTTTTCTTCTCTGCGGGACTCTTCCTCTAAGGCTGTGCTCCTTCCAAGTGCACGAACTTCTCTGTAATGACCACGACTGTTCAGTATTGCTGAATTTATATTCTTTTACTACGTGACCGCTGTCCTAATTATAATAACAAAACATGTCAATCATTCTTGCTCTGAACATAGTTTGTTGTAAACAGAGCTTGAACGGCGTCTGAAATTTCTGACACTCCTTATAGGCCTTCAATTATAGTCGCTCTTTCAAATGATAATTCATTGTCATCTGTTGAGTTACATAACACTAATGATGCAGGGAGCAACCTTTCCAGTGAACCATGAATCGATTAGAATAACTTAAATATGACCATAGTTTAAAAGTAGAATCATGCAGAAATTTATAAATTTGCCAATAGAATATTTCCGTATTCTATGCAGTAAAAAGAGCACGCACACAACGAAAATTATTGTGTTAACATTTTTTGTTCCCCTAAAGAAATATGCAGAACACTTTTTTGGAACAATCATCAACAAGTTCAAAACCTCTAAATATGTCTTCTAATCCAATTGCTTAGCTATAGGATTAGTATGAATTATATGAAACCTTAATTATTTAAGGACGAGGGACATAAAAATAACTAGTTGGACATTATAGTTAGTAATTAGTTAGACATAGATATGTGAGACGTAATATTGACTATATTCGACAACATTAAATTGATATAATGAGCCTCTTTAACATTCAGAAACTTGCACTACATGCCTTCGTCTGAGATGCTCACAGGAAGTGGGATTTGCAGACCTACAGACTTGCAGTTGTAAACTGCAGAGCTTGAAAAGCGTCTGAATTTCCTCATAGGCCTTTGATTAAATTCGTATGTTTGAAATATAATAATTCGTATTGTATATACTTATTATTACATTTCGTCGTTATCTGTCGAGTTACATAACACTAACGATGCAGGGGGCCAACCTTTCCAGTGAACCATGAATCGATTAAAATAACCTAAACATGACTATAGTTTAAAAGTAGAAACGTGCAGATATTTCTAAATTTGCCAATGGAAAATTTCCGTACTATATGCAATCAAAAGAGCACGCACAGAACGAAAATGTTAACATCTGGGCCTCCTGAGGTCAGACCTGCCCTACACAGGATCATAATGTAAACGCAAGTATAACACTATCTTTGAATGAAAGCTTTTTTTTCTTATCTCAAGCACCTGTTAATAAATATACAGACTTGTTTTTATGTCATGCAATATTAAAAGTAGGTGAATAAATACTGAGTATTTGACTATTTGTAGACCTGCGCGCTTTTAAGTCGAAAACTTTTAGTGGGAAACTTGTTTTTGTTTTCACGCACATCGAATTATACCCTGGTATTGTGACAAAGAACATATAGCGAAATCAAAAGACGACCAAATTGGTGTCATGGACGGTTGCTGTTTGACCGTTTTGAACATTAGCTTGTGTAGCTCACAAGAACGATCGGGAAATTAATTTCAAAGTGGTCAAAGCTTTCTCTTCTCTTCCCTTCCTCTATAGCTGCGCTCCTTCCAAGTGCACGAAGTTCTCTGAAATGACCACGATTCCTCAGAAACGTTGAATTAATATTCTTTTACTGCGTGTATTAATTACAATAACAAAACATGTCGATCATTCTTGCTCTTCATTACAATTAATTTACTGTGTTAACATTTTTTGCACAAGTTCTCCTAAAGAAATATGCAGAACTCTTTTTTTGAACAATCGTCAACGAGTTTAAAACCTCCAGATATGTCTTCTAATCCAATTGTTTAGCTAGGATTGGTATGAATTATACGAAATCTTAATTATTTAAGAACGTGGGACAAAAAATAACTAGTTGGACATTATAGTTGGTAATTAGTTAGACATAAATATGTGGGACGTAATATTGACTATATTTGGCAACATTTAAATTGATAAAATAAACCCCTTCAAACATTCACAAACTTGCACTGCATGCCTTCGTCTGAGATGCTCACAGGAAGTGAGATTTGCAGATTTGCACTTGCAGTTGTAAACTGCAGAGCTTGAACGGCGTCTGAATTTCCACAAAGGCCTTTGATTATATTCGTATGCTAAAATATAATAAATCGTATATTATATTCTTATTAATAAAATTCATCGTTATCTGTCAGTCGAGTTACATAACACTAACGATGCAGGGGGCAACTTTTCCAGTGGACCATGAATCGATTAGAATAACTTAAACGTGACTTTAGTTTAAAAGTAGAAACATACAGAAATTTCTAAATTTGCCAATGGAATATTTCCGTACTATATGCAATAAAAAGGGCACGCACATGCACAACGAAAATCTTAAAATCTGGGCCTACTGAGGTCAGACCTACCCTACATAGGATCGTAATGTAAACACAGTTTATGATAAGTATCCCACTATCTTTGAATGAAAGCTTTTTTTCTTATCTCAAGCACCTCTTAATAAATATACAGACTTGCTTTTATGTTATGCAATATTAAAAGTAGGTGAATAAATACTGAGTATTTGACTATTTCTAGACCTGCGCGCTTTTAAGTCGAAAACTTTTAGTGGGAAACTTGTTTTTGTTTTCACGCACATCAAATTATGACCAGCTATTGTGACAGAGAACATATAGCGAAATCAAAAGACGACCAAATTCGTGTCATATAGACGGTCGATGTTTGACCGTTTTGAACATTAGCTTGTGTAACTGACCAGAACGATCAGGAAATTAATTTCAAAAAGGTGAAAGCTTTCTCTTCTCTTCCCTTCCTCTATAGCTGCGCTCCTCCCAAGTGCACGAAGTTCTCTGAAATGACCACGATTCATCAGAAATGCTGAATTAATATTCTTTTACTGCGTGTCCTAATTACAATAACAAAACATGTGATCATTCTTGCTCTTCATTTCAATTAATTTATTGTGTTAACATTTTTTGCAGAAGTTCTCCTAAAGAAATATGCAGAACACTTTTTCGAACAATCATCAACCAGTTCAAAACCTCCAGACATGTCTTCTAATCCAATTGCTTAGCTAGCATTAGTATTAATTATATGGAATCTAATTATTTAAGGACGTGAGACATAAAAATAACTAGTTGGACATTATAGTTGGTAATTAGTTAGACATAAATATGTGGGACGTAATATCGACTATATTCGGCAACATTTAAATTGATAAAATAAACCCCTTCCACACTACGAAACTTACACTGCATGCCTTCGTCTGAGATGCTCACAGGAAGTGAGATTTGCAGACTTGCAGACTTGCAGTTGTAAACTGCAGAGCTTGAACGACGTCTGAATTTCCTCATAGGCCTTTGATTATATTCGTATGTTAAAATATAATAAATCGTATATTATATTCTTATTAATAAAATTCATCGTTATCTGTCAGTCGAGTTACATAACACTAACGATGCAGGGGGGCAACCTTTCCAGGGGAGCATGAATCGATTAGAATAACTTAAACGTGACTATAGTTTAAAGTAGAAACATGCAGAAATTTTTAAATTTGCCAATGGAATAATATTTCCGTACTTTGTGCAATAAAAAGGGCACACACACAACGAAAATCTTAAAATCTGGGCCTACTGAGGTCAGACCTACCCTACATAGGATCGTAATGTAAACACAGTTTTTGATAAGTATCACACTATCTTTGAATGAAAGCTTTTTTCTTATCTCAAGCACCTGTTGATAAATATACAGACTTGCTTTTATGTCATGCAATATTAAAAGAAGGTGAAAAAAACTGAGTATTTTAATATTTGTAGACCCGCGCGCTTTTAAGTCAAAAGCTTTTAGTGGGAAACTTGTTTTTGTTTTCACGCACATCTAATTATGCCCTGGTATTGTGACAGAGAACATATGGCGGAATCAAAAGACGACTAAATTCGTGTCATATAGACGGTCGATGTTTGACCGTTTTGAACATTAGCTTGTGTAACTGACCAGAACGATCGGAAAATTAATTTCAAAGTGGTGAAAGCTTTCTCTTCCCTTCCTCTATAGCTGCGCTCCTTCCAAGTGCACGAAGTTCTCTGAAATGACCATGATTCCTCAGAAATGCTGAATTAATGTTCTTTTACTGCGTGTCCTAATTACAATAACAAAACATGTCGATCATTCTTGCTCTTCATTACAATTAATTTATTGTGTTAACATTTTTTGCAGAAGTTCTCCTAAAGAAATATACTGAACACTTTTTTTGAACAATTATCAACGAGTTCAAAACTTCTAGATATGTCTTCCAATCCAATTGCTTAGCTAGAATTAGTATGAATTATATGAAAGTTAACCTTAATTATTTAAGGACGTGTGACATCAAAATAGCTAGTTGGACATTATATCGTTGGTAATTAGTTAGACATAAATATGTGGGACGTAATATTGACTATATTTGGCAACATTTAAATTGATAAAATGAACCTCTTTAACACTCCGAAACTTGCACTGCATGCCTTCGTCTGAGATGCTCACAGGAAGTGAGATTTTCAGACTTGCAGACTTGCAGACTTGCAGTTGTAAACTGCAGAGCTTGAACGACGTCTGAAACTCCTCAAGGCCCTTAATTATATTCGTATGGTAAAATATAATAAGGCCCTGTCCACACGTAGCCGGGTTTTTTAAAAAACGGAGATTTTTTCCTCCGTTTTCAAAAAAATTCGCGTCCACACGTAGCGTATTCGAATCGTTTTTGCCCGTCCACACGTAAACGCGAAAACGAAGGAAATATGATAGCATAATGATAATGCCCAGCGTCGAGCATGCGCATTGCCTAGCAGATAAATCATATGTTATATTCCTATTAATAAGATTCATCGTCGAGTTACATAACACTAACGATGCAGGGGGCCAACCTTTCCAGTGAACCATGAATCGTTTAGAATAACTTAAACGTGACTATAGTTTAAAAGTAGAAACATGCAGAAATGTCTAAATTTGCCAATGAAATATTTCCGTATTTTATGCAATAAAAAGAGCACGCACACAACATCTGGGCCTACTGAGGTCAGACCTGCCCTACATATAGGATCGTAATGTAAACACAGTTTATCATATGTATCAAACGTGCTGTCATTTTAAGCCCAAATATCTTTGGATGAAATTTTTTTTTCTTCTTATCTTAAGCACCGTTTAATAAATACAGAGACTTGTTTTTATGTCATGCAATATTAAAAGTAAGAGAATAAATACTGAGTATTTGACTATTTGTAGACCCGCTTTTAAGTCGAAGGATTTTAGTTGGAAAGTTTTTTTTTGTTCCCACGCACATCGAATTGTACCCTGGTATGTGACAAAGAACATATAGCGGGATCAAAAGTCGACCAAATTCCTGTCATGGACGGTCGACGTTTGACTGTCTTGAACATTATAGCTTGTGTAACTCACCAGAACGATCGGGAAATTAATTTCAAAGAGGTGAAAGCTTTCTCTTTTCCTTATAGGCCTTTAATCATTCGCTCTTTCAATAATTCCTTGTTATCTGTCGAGTTAAATGTAATATACATAACTGCTATTTATAGAAAGTGTATGAGAGCGAGAAAAGTAAGAGCGCATGAAAAGTAATATATATATAATATAGAGAAACAAAATATATAGTTATACAAATCGGAGCAAGGAGTGAGATCATTATATTGGCGACGAGAATGGCTGAAGGACAAGCCGAGCCACAAGAAAATATCACAGTAAATACGCAATCGGTTTCGCTACAACCATTGCAAGAGTTTAACCCAGACGCTGATGTTGGCGAAAGCTTAGGCACGCGCTGGAACATTTGGATCCAAGATTTCGAGATGTTCATCCTCGCTAGTGGGATTACGGATGAGAAAAGAAAACGCGCATTGCTATTATATCAAGCTGGCAAACGGGTTCGCGAGATATTTAGACAAATACCTGATACGGGAGACGCAACTGATTACGAAGCCGCGAAAACAAAGCTTCACGAATACTTCCAACCGCAAGAAAATCGCCGATACGCAGTTTACCGCTTTAGACAAGCGAAACAAGAACCGAACGAAACCCTTGATCAATTCCATACACGATTACGGACGTTAGCACAGACTTGCTCTTTCCACAACGCAGATTTTGAAATCGAACAACAAATTATTACGGCTGGGTCATCTTCACGGATTCGGAAAAAGGCATTAAGAGACCCAACATACGATCTGAAGTCTATACTCATCGATGGTCGCCGTGCCGAGATGAGTACATTTCAAGCGCGAGACATCGAATCAAAAGACACAAATACAGATCGTGTTAACAAAGTATCATCGAAAACAACATCGAAAACGTGTCACAATTGCGGTGGTACGTATCCTCATGAAGGACAATGCCCAGCTAAAGGTAAAGAATGTCGGAAATGTCAAAAGCTCAACCATTTTGCTCGAGTGTGTCGAGGAAAGATGCAACGTCAGACAAAAGCTTTTCAACATGAAATGAAACCGAAACAGAAATACAAACGACCACTAAATCCACTAAATGAAGTTCAGAGCGAGACGGACAGTTCTGACAACGAATATTTATACACAGTTTCTAATGACAAGACCCACAAAGTCAATGTTAAAGTATGCGGACGATCGTTAAAAGCTACCGTAGACACAGGCGCAATGATCAATGTCATCGACCGAGGTACATATGAGAAAATACCAGGAATAGAATTAAAGAAAACGAACATAAAAGCGTTTGCGTATACTGCTAGCAAGCCAGTAAAGTTCATTGGCAAGTTTGAGGAAGCTATTGAGACTCGCCGTCGAGTTGCAGTGGCAACTTTTTACGTCGCAGAAACGACAGACAGCGGAAATCTAATATCAGCAACAACGGCAGAGGAACTTGGCCTGGTAAGTTTTCATCTTAACAAAGTAACTGAAACAAAAGATCGTGAACTCCAAAATATTCTAAACAAACATTCAAAAGTTTTCCACGGGTTGGGTAAACTCAAGCAAGATAAAATCAAATTAAACGTTGATAAAACAACAACACCCCGAGCACAGCCACAACGCCGAATTCCCTATCACATACGTCAGAAGGTTCAGAACGCGATAGAACAACTAGAGAAAGACGATATTATTGAACGGGTACCAGAAAACCAACCTACACCTTGGGTATCGCCAATTGTAGCAGTACCGAAAAAGAACGGGGACGTTCGTATATGCGTCGATATGCGCGCTGCCAACAAAGCTATAAAACGGGTACGACACCCTATTCCAACAGTTGAGGACATCAGCTTTGAGTTAAATGGAGCAACGTGTTTTTCCAAATTAGACCTTACACAGGCCTATCATCAGCTAGAACTACACGAGGACAGTCGTTACATTACTACATTCAGTACACACATCGGTCTTTTCAGATACAAAAGGCTGAACTATGGCACCAATGCAGCTGTTGAGATTTTCCAGTACACTTTACAAACCCAATTGCAAGGATTAGTCGGAGTAAAGAATATAGCTGATGACATTTTAGTATATGGCAAAACACAGAAAGAACATAACACAAACTTGAATAAATGTCTAAAACGAATCTCCGACAAAGGACTACGCTTGAATCAAGCTAAGTGTAGCTTCTTGAATGACAAGTGGAATTTTTCGGACAAGTATTTTCCAAAGACGGCAGCAAACCTGACCCCAAACGTGTAGAAGCTTTAAAGAACGCGCCGGTACCCAAAACCATTTCTGAAGTAAGAAGTCTCCTCGGCATGGCAAACTACAGTGCCAAGTATATTCCGAAATTTGCAACCATTACAGCTCCATTGCGCCAATTAACGAAGAAAAATACACCTTTCGTGTGGACCGACATTCATCAGAACGCGTACAACACGTTAACTTCCACCTTAGCGTCAGCATCGTGCATGGCATATTTTGACAAAAATAAAGAGACACTGGTAACGGTTGATGCGAGTCCAGTCGGCATATCAGCAATCCTTTCGCAGAGAAACAAAGGAAAAGACGACGAGAAAGTAGTGGCATATGCGAGTAGAGCATTAACAGAAGTCGAACAAAGATACTCCCAAACAGAGAGAGAGGCGCTGGCTATTATTTGGGGAGTGGAACATTTTCATCTATACCTGTACGGAAACGAATTCGTTCTAATCACAGACCATAAACCACTAGAAGTAATCTATGGCAACAGAAACTCTAAAACATCAGCAAGAATAGAACGTTGGGTGTTACGCTTACAACCTTATGCTTTTCAAGTAAGATACAAGCCAGGAGCTAACAATCCGGCTGATTATCTATCGCGCCACCCAACAGGAAAAAGCTACAAACAGCAGAAAATGACAGAGGAGCACATAAACTTTTTATTATTATTTTATTTATTATTATTAAAAATTTTATTTACAGACACTAGCCCCGTCAGTTACCACTGATTTCCACGGAGGGCGTCTACTTAATTACATTATGAGCGTCTACTTAATTACACTATACAAATATAAACTATATATATATAATATGCAGAATTAACTACTTGAATTTATGAGCCTCTTGAAACAATGAAGCGATTGAGCAGACTTAGCTTCACGCGAAAGACTATTCCATAATACAGCTCCTCTATATTTAAAACTTCTTTTGAGAAACTCTTTCTTAGGTCTCGGGATTGATAGATCACTATCGTAATGTCTCAGGTTATAACCATTTTCAATTACACTACGCTCAGAAAAGGATTCGCGAAGGCACGGAGCAGTACCGTTATTTAGGATATTATAAACGAGAACTGCTTTGTTAGTTTTATATTTAGTTTCGAGATTTTTCCATCTAAGCTGCTCCAGGAGTTCAGAGGAGCTTGTATTGTAGTCTGCCCCGTTAACACCCGAGCAGCCCTATTTTGAAATTTTTGCAACTTTTCTTTCAATAATAGACCGCAATTGTCCCAAAGAGGGGAACAATTGTCAAAGTATGGTTGAATTAAAGCTTTGTAAATGGTGTGCATGGTTTCTTCAGGAACAAAGGGTTTAACTCGTCTCATTACACCTATTCCCGCGCCTACCTTTCTGCTTATTGCATTTATATGGGCTTCCCAATTAAGTTGTTCATCAATCTCGACGCCCAAACATTTAAAAGATCTATAACGGGTTACTGGTACATTTCCAAAGATCACTGACTTATTTCCTAGTTTATTTTGAATGTTATACGAAGAGCCTACAAACAAAAGTTTAGTTTTGGTAGTATGATGTTGCAATTTATTATCACTAAGCCATTTACTGATATTTTTTAAATCAGAATTCAACATATCTACTAATTCATCAAAGTTATCCGACGACGCAAAGATTTGAGTGTCGTCTGCATATATTCCAGGGGTAGTAGATTTTAGGTACTCTGGTAAGTCATTGATATACAGCAGAAGCAACAGGGGACCCAGAATGGAACCTTGGGGAACTGCACTTATTATTTCTTTGCGAGTCGATATATAGCCATTCACATAACACACCAGCTCTCGATTAGTCAAATAGGAAGCAAACCAAGCAAGTTCGGAGTGTTTTATTCCAAACTGGGTTTTCATTTTTATCAGTAGAATTTCATGATCAATTGAGTCAAAAGCTTTTCGAATATCTAAGGAAACTATACCAGTAATTTTACCCTCGTCCATATTTTCCAACCATTTATCACACATTTGAAGAAGTAGAGTTAATGTTGAGTGTTTTTGTCTAAAGCCAGATTGAAATTTTGAAATCAGTAAGTTCTCTGACAGATAGTCATATAGTTGTCGAAAAATTTCTTTCTCAAATATTTTGCTAACAATTGGCAGAATGGAGATCGGACGGTAATTTTCACACTTTCTCCTATCTTCGGATTTATAGATTGGTTGGACTCGTGCTATTTTCCAATCATTGACAAATTTCCCAGTATATAATGATAGATTAAAAATGGCAGTCAGTGATGGAGCAATTATATCCGCAGATAGTTTAAGTACTTTTGCTGGAATTTTATCGAGTCCCGTAGCTTTAGAAACTTTTAGAGATTTTAGATTATTTGCAATTTGATCAATACTTAGACCTGAGAAGCAAAATGTTGAGCGGCAAGTAGAATCCTTAACATTTGTTTCGTAGGCAGCGTTACAATTTGTCACTTCAGCCGCTAGTGACGGGCCAATATTAACAAAATAGTTATTTAGTTGATTTGCAATTGAAACTCCGTCTGTAATAACACTGCCGCCGATATTGAGTTCATTGACTATTGTAGATTTACTACCGTCTTTACCTAGAAGAGTATTAATTAATGACCAGCTTTTTTAACATTTCTCTTCTGAGAGGATTCTGAAAGTTTATTATTAAAGTAGTTAGCTTTAGCTTTCCTTATTTCAGAATTCACTTTGTTTCTGATGGTTTTATACTTTTCCCAATGCGCTTCAGAGCCAAATTTTTTAGCCAATTTCTGATGGAGGTCTCTTTCCCTCATAAGTTGCTTTATGGATGCATTTACCCATGGCATTGATTTAATTTTAGTCCGCCTACTCTGAATTGGCGCATGCCTATCGAGTGTCTCTAGAAAGAATAATTTCCAAATTTGCCAGCTATCATTTGGGTCATTAAATTGGTTCACATAATCCCAGGGAACCGTATTTAAGTCTTCGAGAAACTGTCGTTCATTAAAATTTTTAAAATTTCGAAATTCCTTAAAGGCTTGTTTTTTCTTTGGAAACACCATTTTTTTGACAGCAAAAATTAGGTTATGATCGGAAATCCCCAAATTAATTACTCCATAGTTAGAAATACTCTCAGGATTGTTAGCTAGAACCAAGTCAATTAAGGTTGCAGTTGTTTTAGTCACCCTAGTTGGTTCTTCTATCAGTTGTTTCAGCTGATATAACGTACATATATTTAATAATGTTTGCGTGTGATTATCATATGGGGATTTACTAACGTCACAATTAAAGTCCCCTAAAGCTATTAATTCTTTATTTTCCATATCACATTTTTGAATAAAGCGTTCAAAGTCGTCAAACAAACTTATATTAGCATTCGGAGGTCTGTACCAAGAACAAACTAAGAATGGCTTGCTATATTGACGAAAAATTTCAATGCACACCATTTATAGCGAATTTGGGACCAATTCTGTACGTTCAACACATGAAAAGCAGTTTCTAACATATAAAACGACACCCCCACCGTGTCTATTACGATCTTTTCTGAATAAATCGTATCCAGATATTTTAATTTCATGGTCTGAGACAAATTCATCGATTTTGGACTCATTGATGGCTAAGACATCAATCGGACATTTTTCCAATATCATTCGAAGCTCATCGATATGCTTCAAGAGGCTATTAACATTTAGGCTAGCTATTCGAAAACCTTTGAGATTAGCAATTTCGCTAAGAGCAGATTCAGAATTACAATTTACTATTGCCGGGTCATTCAACAAGTCATTTAGTTGATTATCGGAGGTTATTGCTGAAATGTCCGGGGAAATATCATGTCAATTAGGTATATTATTTGCAAATTCTCTTAAATTGTCCTGAAGAATTGAGCTGCCTACATTATTTAGATGAAGGCCTCTGAAGTTCAAATGGGAACTATTAATGTTAGCATTTTCTAAATACGATATTTGGGAGTGTTTACAATGACTTCTTAGCATATCATTAACTTGTTTTACCTTACCAGCAAGTTCTTGATTATCATTCCTTACCACAAGTGCTGAGAGACCTACAACTGTATCTGGAGAGGAGTGCTTGATTGTGTTCGTAAGATCTACGATAGAATCGGCAACAACTTTTGCGGACGAACTCTTAAGATTGTTAGTTCCAACGTGAAGAATCAGCTTATCTGGTCTTTTCCTGATTAGCGGTTTAATAAAGTCATTCATGTCTTCAACAGTTGCTCCTGGAAAGGGCTTTACCACATAGAAGTGATCCCTATCTACATTACTCATTTTTGCACCAATAACATTTTTAACCATGGAGTCACCAGCGATGACAACGGTTTTCTTTTTTCCTGGGTGTATCGTCGTTCGGTTGAAGGCAGTTTTTGAAGCAGCCATATCATCGGTTATTGCTGACTTTACAGTTTGCGTGGCCGACGTTGCTATTGACGTATTGATCTTTTTCTTTTTTGGTGTTTGCTTTAGGCCTTGTTTATTGGACGTATCGCCATAAAAAGCATCCTTATCATTATCTTTGCTTGTAGATACATTGGAACTATCGCCAGATGCTTCATCATTCAGGGTCATATATCTGTTGGAATCCTCTACAACAAAGCAGTCACGGTCATTACTCTCAGCAACACGAGCGGGCATCGCATTTCTCTCTTTAACTTGAGTCCAGCCATTCTGTTTGATAACATTTGATGATTGATTATTTCCCGAGGTTTTACTTTTCGATGAAGATTGGCGATAGTCATCATGTATGAGGCTTATCGCAGTTATCAAGCTCGCCTTTTCGTCTTTTAATATTTTGATTTTGGTATTCAAATCAGAAAGAACATTAGCGAGATTATTCATGCATTCAGTATGTTCGGCATTTTCCTTCAGGAGATTTTCATTCTGTCGTTGAAGTTTCTCATTTTCACGGCGAAGATTGTACATTTCGAGACTCTCTTTGCCAGATGCCGATTTTATACTTACAGGTAAGGCCTTAATGTTAGATATTGAGGCTTTGTTTTCTTCAATACCTAGTTTGAGCTGCTCGATTTGTACTTTGATCTCATTAACTGCTTCAGTGATCATCTCACCATACATGTGCTCGGCTTGATATTTTTTTTGCGTTTCATCGTATATTTGAGGACCTTCTTCTGGTTGAACAGTTTCGTCTGCTTTCCCAAGACTTTGTGATGAAGCTATACTGTCGCCGTCGTCTTTGCCTTCGGCAGAAACCAACTCGTCATCTTGCGAATCCCCGTCACTTTCGTCCATTGAATTCGCGATCAGTTTAAGCTCATTGCGAAGCAACTCGCCGTCTTGACCTTTAATTATCAATGAATTACTTGTTGAGTACCATCTGATCGTTATATCTGCATTTTCAAATGATTTACATCCACCTCTGGGCACGAGCCATTTTGAATCGATCTTCAAGATTTTATCGCAAGTCTTTTTAAGGTCTTCAAAGCTGCCTAACCATTTGAAAGAACCTCTAGTTGTAATAAACAAATTAGCTTGAAAATTATCTTGATTCATCGCTATAGCGAAACACGAAGATGCACGAAGATTAGATTCTTAAAAAGTAATCAACTTAGCAGAGCTCTAAGAACACGTCCGTCTCCCACGAGCACGTGTGAGTGCAGCGTATTTGACACAATTTAATCGAAATATAATCAATAACATATTCTGTAACGTATTCTAAACATGCTCTACTACTTTATTGCTCGCTCCAGTGTTCCGAAAGCACTGACGATAGAGGAAATCGAAGAAGCAACGAACAAGGACAAAACCTTACGAGGAGTTCGGGCAGCTATAAAGCTCAACAAGTGGCACTACGAGGTAGTCAAGCCTTATAAACAAGTAAAAGACGAACTTACTGTGACAACAAAGGGCGTGGTTCTTCGTGGTTCTCGTATAGTGATACCAGAATCGCTACAGCAACGTGCGATTGACATTGCGCACGAAACTCATCTTGGCATTACCAAAACGAAATCACTAATCCGAGAAAAGATTTGGTTTCCGAATATTGATAAAATGGTACAAGCAACAATCGAGAAGTGCATTCCTTGTCAGGCAGTGGGTAAAGCACCACCACAAGAGCCAATATCAACGACAACAATGCCAAAGGGACCATGGGAAACGATACATTTGGATTTCTACGGACCACTTCCTTCGGGAGAATACCTTCTGGTCGCAATTGATCGCTATTCCAGATATCCCGAAGTGGAAGTAGTACGCTCGACAAAAGCTTCTGTGGTCATACCCAAATTAGATCAAATGTTTGCCCGTCATGGCATCCCAACAACTATCAAGACAGACAATGGACCGCCTTTCAATAGTGCAGAATATAATCGTTATTTGACAGCTCTTGGAATTAAAGATATTCATTCAACACCTAAATGGCCCCAGGGCAATGCAGAAGCGGAAAGGTTCATGCAGCCCCTTGGAAAAACGCTACGAACCGCTCACATTGAAAGAAGACCCTGGCAGCAAGAGCTACATCGTTTCTTGTTACAGTACAGGACAACACCACACTCTTCCACGAAAGTTCCACCAGCGGAATTACTATTTAACCGTACAGTGAAAGGAAAGCTTCCAGAATTGAAAAAGCGGAACACTGTTAACAAACACAATATTGCCAAAAAGAATGAAATGGAGAGACAGCGATACAACAAAGAATATGCGAATGAAAAAAGAAACGTAAAAGAGAGTGAAATTAAGATAGGAGACTATGTCTTAGTTCGTCAGGACAAGCAGAACAAATTGACTGCGAATTACAACAACGTTCCATACGTAGTCACACACAGATCGCATTCACAGGTTAAAGCAAGAAGCAAGAACGGACACGTTATCACACATAATGTGTCGCAGTTTAAACGCATACCAAAGCCAAGGGATGATACGGACAGTGATGACGATAATGAGAAAGAACGTCATCAAAAGAGGAACAATACCATCACACTACCAGCAGCAACAAATGTTGGACATCAAGATCAGATACCGACACGACGATCGAGCCGAGTCAGAGGAAAACCTGATAGATTTGGACATTCAGTATATGATTGAATTATGTTTTGTTAAATGTTAATATTGTTTAAAAAAAAAGGGTGATGTAATATACATAACTGCTATTTATAGAAAGTGTATGAGAGCGAGAAAAGTAAGAGCGCATGAAAAGTAATATATATAATATAGAGAAACAAAATATACAGTTATACAAATCGGAGCAAGGAGTGAGATCATTATATTAAATAACACTAACGATGCAGGGAGCAACCTTTCCAGTGAACTATGAATCAATTAGCATAATTTAAACGTGACTATAGATTTCTAAATTTGCCAATGGAATATTTCCGTACTCTATGGAATAAAAAGTGCAAGCACGCAACGAAAATCTTGACATCTGGGCCTATTGAGGTCAGACCTACCAACATATATACATAGGATCGGAAGGTAAACACAGTTTATGATAAGTGTCACACATGCTGTCATTTTAAACCAACATTTTCTTATGTTAAGCGCCTGTTAATGAAAAGGAACTTGTTTTTATGTCATGTGTATTAAAAGTAAGTAAATGAACTCTGGATATTTGTAAACCAGCGCGCTTTTAAGTCGAAAGCTCTTTGGCTGAATTTCGCGAGCAAAATATTTGCATATTTTCTTTTGAAATGAAAGGAATCAAGCTGAACTAATTTACTTATTTCGTCAAAATTTCAAAGAAATTATGCAAATATTTCGCCAGCGAACTATTTCTGAATTCTCTGCAAGTGGAAATTCACCCTTAGGTGGAAATGAAAATGTAAGAAACGTCCATAGAGTGTTACAAAGACAAACGTTTGGTAGTTCAGTTGACTAACACCACTATGATTGATTGTGCTTCGATGGCATGCATAATTGCATGCATGCATGGGCGAATATATTGCCAGCGCCGGCGAAGGTACTAATTCCGCCCGGAGAATAGGTATTATTCCCGGGTATTGTGGCAGAGAACTTAGCGGAATCAAAAGTCGCCAATGTTCCATGTTATGCACGGTCGATGTTCGACCGTTTTAAACAAGTGAAAAATTAATATGAAATAGGAACAAATTAACTTGAACAAGACAAGACTGGTATTCAGCAACGTCTTGATTGCCAACATAATCTTGGCCGCAATTTTCAGCTGTTCTATACCAAAAGGACTCAACCTACTTAAAACTCATCCCTAATGGTCAAGTGTAGTCGTGCATAAATTATACGACTAACTCATTAACAATATACATCCTGCGATCTTGAAAATAGCCATTAAGCGGCCTTGAACGAATTATACCAGAAACAAAGCTCTTAACCAAACTACGGTCAATATAGTTGATTACTTGCGAAAACCATAATAGTCAAAAAACAGTCGGCGAAAAAAGAAATTAAACAGATAGCACGCCATCTGAATGTTTGTGCGAACTCGATGCAAACTGTTGCAGTACTGCCAAATTTCTTGGTCTAACGCGAGTTACCTACAACGTCAAAAAGACTAGCTTTTTTGACACACTCTGCATAGCATGTCCAGGAAAGTATACTTCATCAAAATTAAAATTAAGAAGACTCTATATCGGCTTCACCCAGCGAGCGATTTATGCTTAATTAAACTGTTTTAGGCAAAAGGACGATTTAATGTAAAACTGCTTTAGGTAATACCATATTTTAAACAAATTTAATATAGATATTTTAAACCAAGAGGACAATGACATAAATTATGAGAAATACTATATGATAATTTGCATTTGAATATATAATAAAGTGACCAAAATATTCGGGAATGTATAGGAAATACCACGACACGATGACCACAATATAGACGAGTAAATGTTACAGGACATAAACCACATTTACCCAACATTCAATTTACTGGCAACGTTATTCGGCTAAAAATCGCTACGCATACCCATTTATCCGCGCTGAGCATTTGTATAGATAGTCTGAACACTAATAAAATTGGGTACGTGTGCTAATTTTTTCCCTGCCGTGCCGTGTAAAAGAGGCTACCGGGTGCAGTGTAAAAGGGTTGTATTAATTATGAGGATTCATAGATGATACTTGCCAGAACAGCATTATAGAAGTGAGTGAAAATCAATGCGCACATCTCGTCTGTTCTGTGCTCGTAGACCAAGTTATCTGGAAATCATAATTATATTATGACGAGCCGGAACACTTGCGCACGTTATTGTAGTACGTGGTCTCAGACTCGGTAGAGATTTGTATGTAGCAAAATGTGGCATAGTTGTAATTTATATTTATGTAAAGTAATTCAGTGAATTTCACTGCCTTTGCAGATGTATGGAGGTAATTGCGGTATAGCTCTATATGAGAAAGTGCCCTCTTTTGTCAGTCTCCCTTCCTCCCCAATGGTTCCGTGTCCCTTGACTAAAGTAGATAAACACTTAACACTGTTGTGAGAGCAACATAAACTTGGCAGAAGCTCTCTCAAAAGGATTTACTTTACTTAAAATCGCCCCAAACAATGGTTGCATGCAGACGTGCGTGAAAAACATTAACTCAGGGACAATGCGTGCGTAAAAAAACATTAATTCAGGGACAATGCACATCCTGTGATCTCAAAAATATAGTCAAGTGGTCTTCAGTAAATTGTACTATTAGTTAGAAAACCCTCAAAAACAATGTTTTTCCAAACATGGATCAATATAGTCGTGCATGAATTTTAAAACTGATTACTTCCGATCACATGCAGAGTAGTCATATACAGTCTGCGTAAAAAACATTAAACATGCAAATGGCACTCCACACATCAACAGTGTGTGTCAAGGTTATATTTTTTAATTCAAATTATCGTAATATTGTTTCACTGGGTCTAATCTGCATGAATTTGAGAAAGAATGGCTTACAAAGACTTTTTTCATACACTCTGTATAGCATGTTCGAATAAGTATATACTCCGTGATATTCAAATTAGCGAAGCTATGTTGGATTCAGCCAATGACCTTTTTAAATAACAGTTTAACTGTTATAATTACTCACATAAATAAGGCATGCACTGTAATATACAAGCAGGGAACGTTTACCAACTTTCTTTCAAGAATATATCATCTAAATACAAAATGTTTATTTTGTCCTAACTAAACCCGAATGCCAAAGTAGATGTACAGCACTATTGTGCAAGTAATGTGAACATAGCTGCAATTTTTTAGTCGCATTCCCGATGAAAACTATTCAAATTCTACCAATAAATTACACCCATAATTGGATAGCTAACCATAGTAGTCAAATATGGTCGGCGCAAAAGGACATAAAAAATGACACTCCTTCTACAGTGTGTATAAAAAGGTAACGCTGGGCTTTCTAATGAAAAATTAGTCGACTATTTAACCTTATTTTTCTAATCTGGTGCCCGCGTGCTGCGGCGTGATTGGTCGTCAATGCACAGAACTTTCGCAAAAATGCAGTAATTTCTACAGTATAGTTCCAATCTGAATTACAAAGAGTATAACATTTTTCACATGGACGTGTAGTTCACATTCAAATTATAGTGAGGCTATATATTGGATGCAATTAAAGGAGATATTTGAATAAGATTAAACTGTTTTAAGCAATACAGATATACGACTTGGTAAAGTATAACTGTTCTAACGTGCAAAATGAAGTTTTTGTGATGCTTTGAATCTGGGTTACAAAGAAAGAATGAGTTACGAAAGACTTTTTATACATTCCGTATAACAAGAAAAAGTGTAGTTAATTAAAAATTCAAATCAGCTAGACTATATTGGATTCACAGAACGAACTATTCAAATAACATTTGAGTATTCGATATGAATTAGAAGGTGCATACCTTTAGCACTTTTTTTCGAATTACCTTCACAAAACTAAATTTCATTTTTGTTCCAATCAATTCCTAATTCCAAAGTAGATATACGTAACGCAATTGTGCAAGTAACATGAACTTGACCGCAATTTTCGGCTGTACTTGTGAAAGGACTTGACCTACTTAAAGTCACTCCAAACAATAGTTAAGTTATCGTGCATGCATTACGGCGTTAACTCAGAAAAAAAACTACATCTTGTGATTTCGAAAATATGGTGAAGTGGTCGTGCGCAAGTTACAACAAGAAACGCCTGTCCTTTGCTTATCGAAGAAAAAAATTATACAAAAACAGCTTTTTTCACACATTATGTATAGAAAGTTCGAAAAAATGCACTTCATGAAGGGCGATTTAGCATGAGGACGTAAACGTCAAAGACGACGTGAAAATGGGGAATGAATGGCGTGATGCGCCCAAATATGGACATGCCAAGCCACTGACTCGCCATTTTCACGTCGTATTTGACGTTCACGTCTTCATGCTAAATTTCCCTAGAACTTGAGGTAACGGGAAACAAATATTATTATGATAGGCCCTACGTGTTTGCCTGTCGTGCGATTCTAAACTCATATAGACTGGGATTTTGACAAAATTCGTTTCGTGAAGCCACCGTATGGTTGTTATTTGACACTTCATGCAAAAATTTCCTTTTTATAAAAAAACCCATGACTCACGAAAAAACCCCGTGACCAGCAACAATTAGAGTGTCTCTTCATGAGTTCACGGGGAATCAAATTAGCGAGCTATTTAAATAGAATTTAGCTGTTTTAATAATTAAGCAATTATATATTTCGGACAGACATGCATTGCATATACACAAGGTATATATATATATATACGGAGAAAAAACAGCTCTCAGTTTTGAAATCAGGAATTTATTTAAGTTGCATGATTTAACATTCAATATTATACCTATGCAAATTATGTGCATATATTTTATGACTTCCTGTGTGTATATAAACAACATAAAGCGTAAAAATTTTCATAAGGCTATTTTCAATGGCCCTGTAGTTATTGACAAGAAGCCCAAGAAATTCCTATCAAAGAGCTCAAAACACCCAAACGATATGAAGTTAGCTGTTGCCGTTTTCAGCGCCCTGATACTCCATCTTGTTCATGGAGATATCTATATGCACAATCCAAGAGGATCGAACAATCGTCTAAACGAAGCAACTACTCCAAGAGCTAATGCTAACAGGATGTTTGATTCACAGGTTTGATAAGGGCTTTATTGTGAAGATATTTTTCCAGACTATACATGCATGTGAAGATTTTTGTTAGGGAAAGTATAAAGGATTTGGTTAAATTGTTACAGATTCTTCCTAGATTTAGTAACTCCAGCTAAATAGCCTTGACTGTAGAAAGTTGTAAAGCTTTAAAGGACTTTTTAAGGAGCCATTAGAGGGGGCACGAATGAGAAGAACCAAAATGAAAATTGGTAAATAAAAATATTAGATTAAAATTCTTCATGAAATGTTTCATCTTTGCTCTTCTCTGCATGTGACTTGATTTTCTAGCATTTTAGGGGGCATGTACTAATGAATTAAAAAAAAGGGGGCAGGGTTTGCTGATAGAGTGTCTTTAAATACGTGCAGGTTCTGAAGGGACTTCCACCGTAGGGGCAAAAAATGTATTTGTTACAAGACGGAGAAGTGGGGGCGGCATTTTCCTCCTAATCTAGCTATCGGTCAAAAAAGGCTTGCTTCCCGAAGAGATATTTTGTTCTGGAATTGTTTGAAGCAACCTGGTTGGGGATGACATTCATAAGGATCCCAACAAAGAACCACTATGGTTGCAGCGAACAAGAAAATTTATTCAAGTTGCCACTCACAACTATATTTTTCAAACCTTCAATAATTTGCTTAATTTGCTCACGTATCGTTAATAAGTGCCAACCCTTTTTGGGTGCACATCTTGACTTTTTAAAGTGAATTTTACAACAAAATTTGAGTTTCGAAATTATATATCACGCTATACCGCTTTGGATTCTTGTATCGAGTTTGAAAGATCAATCATTTGTTTCCGCATTTTAATACCTTTTAGCGTTTGAATAAATTAGAAGCATTTTACGTACAATCAGTACACATGCAACTCGAAATGGTAGGATTTTCCAAATGATTTTTTTTAACCATGGAATTTTAGGAGTGCAGTATAGATAAATTAAACATCGCTTTATTTGCTTACTTGCAAATAAACATTCATCATGCAGGTTTTGTTCTATAAGGAAGCTCATAAAGACTTTTTGTTTGTCAAGTCGAAATACGTGATGTATATTGCTGGACTTGTGATGTTTTTTTTACCATATTGTCTTTTTGCTGCGAAGCTAAGTGGTACGGAAGGAAGGGGATTGGAGGTGGGCATATTATCAGGTTTCGATATCAGCTTTTCTAACATATTCATGCATATACGAGCTTTTAATCAGTTTTGTAATTCATCACTAAAATCGTTCGTTTAAGCAATGCCCCTATTTCGAGGAACTCCCGTGTTTTATTCCTGATCATATAGACCAAGTATCTTTGGAAGATTACTCTAATACGCTGACCGTAGTATATTTGTAACTGGGGGAATGAGAAACGATTTTAAAAATTAAAATATATCCTGCTTTGCCGGGGATCTTGATCTCCATACTCTTTGCCGAATGTTTTATAAATGACCATACAGACGACCCCCCACATTTATTTACTTCAGATTTTACCACCCACCCCCAAACCCCAAATTGATGTTTCTTGTTAATTTTGTTATATAGCACTCATTTTACAAAGTATTTGTTGTTTAAAGTTTTTTTCAATCATGAAATCAAAAAAGTTTACATTTCAAACTTGGCCTTCTAGAGATCACGTGAGCCATTTTAGAATTAGCTTGTTTCCAAGAAATAATGAAGTCAAATCAAGCATTTCTGAAATTAATGATAAAGCATGGTATTCGCTGTATTGACTGCCAAAATTTGAACTGAGTTGAGTTCCTTACCTTAACTGAACAGGAGCGCCAAATTCGCGTATGATGCATCAATAATACGTACAAAGAATTGTACAATTTGCATTTCGCATGTGACTGACTTCGCTTCCGTTATAATAATAAATGCAGTATCTGTTCTGCGTAATTCTGCGTCCACGTGCATGTAATTAGCGAATTGGCAATATCAATTTTCAATCAGGATAATCAGAACGTAACGAGAACGATAATTGGGGGGGGGTGTAAGCTATTGCACTTACAAAAGAAATCCGTCGGGAAGAACTGGATGTATGAATATGCACCATCCTCGCCCCCCCCCCCCGGCCAAAATAATTGTTCTAGTTACGCCCTTGGGGACAATGCGGTTCAAAGTCTTTGCATATAATAGTTTCATTCGTCTCCTATCACCATGACATGAGTAATGAGTTTTGAAAATTATCATCAGTATCTTGTATTTACTGAGTGAGGATAGGCAATCGCGAATATACTGGTACACTTCTCAGTTTTCCACCGTTCATCTATTTGCTTCAAACAATGAATATAACATGCTAAGATTTCTTTATACACTTCCCACTTCTCTGTGCATATCATAATTTGTCTCAGGTGCCCTTTCGCTTTGGTTACCTTGTCTCATGCAGCTACCAATTCCCTTCCTCCCAATAGCAAATCTTCATGCCATCTTAAGAATCGTGAATTAAAAGCAATTTTTACAAAAATTTTAGAACAACAATAATGGCGGTTACAATGTGGGCGATAAGCTTTATACCGCTTCTGGTGCCAATCAGAATAACCAATATAATATGGTGGGTATATAAAAAATGGAGAATGGTAAATCATACATGCATATTGGTATATAGTTATGTGTTATAAATTATTTATGTTGATTTATTACTCAGTTTACATATCATGTCCAGAAAATTGGGACAAAATTAACATTCTTCTTGCGCCGAGATTTGTATACGGTGTCAAACTATAGCCGCACGTCGTGGGTTTATATTAAACAACAATTAAGACAAAAAGTTACTCCAAATATTTGGAGGTAGATTTTCAAAAATTTTTATCTTTATTCTTCCTGTTTTACTAAGCCAAATTTTAGCCATTTATCACGTGAATACCATACAAAACGTTTCTAGAAATAACTTCGATATGCAATGACTTTCTCAAATTTTGCACGAAAATGCACGAAAATCGGCATACTCCAACCAAGCCAACTGCCTCGTCACACAGGATGGAAGTAATATGGCTTCTGTGATTGTGTGAAACAGTTGAAGCCAAAAAATCAAATTTAGCTAAAAAATCTCAGATTGTGTTTGGTTTCTTGCACCAATTGCATTAGTAACATCAACTACGGTCTTACGGTTAATTGAAGTGAGCAACGAAGCTTTAAATAGGAAAACGACTGTAGGTCTCTTTCTAAGGCAACATCAATGATAAAACATGTACTTAATATTTATAAAATGTATAAACATTTAAGCAATTCCTAACAAAGATTTTGGCATGTTAGGCAAAGATTATAACCGCCAAAGTCAGCTCTGACATGCTTTTAAATATATCTCACCGAAATTTTAAAGACTGACACACAAAAAAGCACAAAAACTATTTGAAAACAGTTTTTTGTTTGCACACGAAATCGTGGAATAAAAAAGGCATATTAAATGCTTCGCTATAGTGATTACTGTTTGGAATGGAATTTTTGTTTTGTAATGGAATTTACTCTTTTAAATAGGGTTATTTCCAAAGCGGTAAAGATTACAAAACGTTGGATGGCCAGACGGGGAAGTCCTTTCTTACAATCGAGTGGACAAATCAACATGGATGTGCAGACAAGGACCTCAACTGTAATTTTGTGATTCAGTACCGATGCCAAGAAGATAGAAAACATTATACATACAATCAACACACAATTCGAAATGGTAGGATTTTCGAAACATTTAGCTGTTATTGTTGGTTGCCACATTGTAATTTTGAACAGCTTGAATACGGTGTATAGATTTAATATTGTCAGCATATAAGAAAACATATTTCATATAGAATATAAATTACCCTGGAAAAATAAAATGTTATCAATAATTGCATTATATTATGCAATCATGCAATTTGCATACAAATATTTAATATAATTTAAAAAATTTTAGGTGGTATTACCGCTACTTCAGTGTATACGCTAAAAACCTACACAACTCGTAATGCGAAAAATGCACAATCTAGAAGTGATGCAAAAGGCTACCAGTACGGTGTACACGAGCCGTGGGAGTGGTATGATAAGTGCAGGAAAAGGAAACGAAATTATGGTGAGAAAAGATCATTCTCCCATTATAATTATTAGTTGATAGGGAGACAACTGCGTGGGAAGGTTTGGTTTGGGAAGGAAGATAGAAATAGCTCGAATGCAAGGTGAATGCTTCCTATCATTTTCATCGTCTTCAGTTGATCCGACAATATCGACGAAATAGTATTATTTATAGTGCACAAACACTATAATAAACAGCTATTCCTCACCAAATCCCCCGGCCGCCTGTAACATGTTTCTGTATTTATTTCACGCAGGTTTATTCACAGCCGACCAAAACCTGAAGGGAAAACAATTCAGCATATACACTCGTCAAAATCCCGGTGGAACGCGGCGGGGTTATGAATGCCCAGAAGAACGAGATTACTATCCTTATTGGCATCCTACAGACTGGATTGATATTGCAGTACTAACTGACGACAAATCGTTTTGCAGTTATTACAAAAACGAAAGCTTCAATGTGAAACCAAAAGGTAGCTACCGAGTTCGACATGTTTTGAAACACTTATTACATTTACACGCATGCATATGCTATGGAGACTGTACTTTATCCACATTCGGCATTTCTTCAACTTTCAACTAAAATCATCTCCAAAATACTAGCCTCTTTGTTTACTCGAAGCGATTTAAATAAGTAAACATCACGGACGCAGAAATCGCAAAATTTCAATAATCTCAAATATACGCTTTCTCCCAGAAGTATTTTCTGATTAACCGAGGATTTCATCTGAAAATTATTGAGACACAAGATTGAGTTCGCTAAGAGTTAGGGCATGCCAATTATTTCTTAAACAGCCTGCTTGTGAATCGTACCATAAAGATTTTTGGTTCTTCCTGTAGAAACAGTCGCATTCCCTTTGTTTATATGTTTTGAGACTATTTTATTTTAATGTATTATTAGGTGAATGTTTGGAGTACTACAGCAATGGTAAAGATTTAAAACACCAGTCAGAATACAACAACAAAATTGAATGTGAGCAAAAGAAAGGCGTCTGGGTAGAATTCAGCAACTATTTGGAATATTATCCACAAGCTCAAACAGAGGAAGAATGTTTGCAAGCCAGCACAAGAGCTAGACGTCTCATTTGGGCTATACCATATCGCTCGGAAAACGTTGATCAACTGAAAATGGAAGGTAGAAATACACAGTCGTTGAAACGTTGCTTGGTCGCTTTGGATCCTCCTGAATGCCTGAAAACGTCGCATTCCAGATCAAACCATTTGGGGAATGTTGCTGGAGTGATTGCCCAACGATACACCTGGACTCTGCCACATTTCCCGTCTGCGCAAGTGCAAAGATGTGCTCTACGTATCAGGTAATGATTCTATGTCCAGATTTCACGGGTTTAATCCTTAATCTAAACCTTTAGGGGTAGTTAGGAAGTTAGGTAGGGGTTAGGGTCGGGTTTAGGAATTAAGTTAAGATTATTAACAAGTATATATTATTCACACAGAATTCGGTGTCTTAACAAGTTTTGCGATCATGTGAATGTATACATGTTTGTTGGAATTCGTGCTGCAAAAATTTGCTGCATGAGAACATGATAATTCATTCACAGTCTTCTACATGTGTCTCGTAAATATATACTGAAGACCTCCACGCTATTCAAAATCTTTACGCCCTCAATACGGCTATACCATCGGAAGTATATCGAAATTCCTCTGAGAAACGAATGGGAATGGGAGTCGGCCTATGATCAGAGGTCGAGGAAGATCGTTAAGGGGGGGGGGGTGAGGTGGTTTAGCAAACAAATATACATGTAATTACGTTCAGCATTATTAGTTTCTTTTGAAATAGCTTGTATTCTATTGTCTGCTAACACGAATATATGAATATTTCCTCTCCCTTAACGACCCCCCCCCCACCTTAACGATGATTAATAAGCGTAGGCGCGGTAACTATAGACCTCTTAACTATCCAAGGTCAGTTGTATAAAAGGCCACTTAACTTTCAACAGTATAGTTTAGGAAAGAATTGGCCAATCAGAGTCGTGTATTTCTGAGTTAACTACGATTTAACTATGCAAAACCCTGGGCCGGTTGTTCTAAAGCCGGTTAGCTTAACCCTGGGTTAAAACAAATCTTTACAATATTTTTTTTAATAACTTGCTTACAAAGTTGAATATCTTTTTCATTAATATTTCCTGTACCGGTAGAACTCATATTTTCTAAAACTTTAAAACGAAAAGTGGTTGAGAACTTCAGAAGCTCCAAAACAAAAACACTGGATTAAAATTTCACCCAGGTTTTTATAAATCATTGTTTCCCTTAACTCTGTTTGTGTTACATATTTACAGGTATAATATTTCATCAGGAGATTACCCACCATTTGACACGTTCAGCTCTCAGAATGATGACGTGTAAGTGTTGCAGATTCTGTAATGATTTCGAATGGAAATTAGGGTGCGCTTGGGTATAAGCATAGTCAATAGATCACACTCTTTGTGCTTAACTCATGAAATGAGATGTTTTAAAGTGGCTAATTTTAGTCTTAATTTTACTATTACGCGGTCTTCAAACTACATTGGAAATCACATTAGATTAATATTTTACCTGCATTAGGAGTTAAAACAAGGCTGGATCATCGATGCAATCTTTGTCTATTTCAGGCAGTTTTTAAATTGAAGTTGTGTGGAAACGCTGCCACACCGTGCGAAGTTGAACCTAATTTGATAATCGGGTTTTGGTCGCGTCGAAAGCAATTTGAACAGTAGAAAATGAGATCATAATGGCGTCCGCTCCCCTGTAAAAACAATCCCAAAGTGAAAGTGGGGCATGTGCAGTTCCCCTTACAACTTGCAATTGACACAGCACAGTTTGGTCGGGTATTCCAAGACCTAATTTGACAATCGGGTCTTGGTCGCGTCGAAAGCAATTTGAAGAGTAGATAATGAGATCATAATGAAGCTTAATGAAGTTCATCATCTCATTATTTATTGTAGAAATTGCATTCGACGCAACAAAATGCGACATATAAACTTGGCCTTTGTTAAAATGAAACGTATTCTTATATACACATGGTTCTTTATTACAGAAACAATGGTGTCCACTCCCCAGTAAAAAACAATCCCAAAGTGAAAGTGGGGCGTGTGCAGTTCCCCTTACAACTTGCGATTAACACAGCACAGTTTGGTCGTGTATTCCAAGACCGTTCACACGTATTCAAACTTCGCCCGAGACCAAGGACAGTCTCGAATGAGGACGTTATTTACAACTTAAACGTGCGTGGAAAACGTGGCAATATCGTCCAGGTCTATCCCGCGGTTGAGTATGACTTTATTCCAAAGCGCTTCAGTATAAAGTTTGGAAACTTGGTTCATATACAATGGACAGGTAGTGTAATGTAAAACTAAATCTCTTAGTTAATTCAAGAAAGAGTATCAATTATTCTCTAGTGTGAAAGTAGGATAGAACCCAGAGATTGTGAAGGGTGTATTTTATCTGCTGGTATATAATGCCTGTTTTTATGCATATAGTTTCACGTTCACGTGGTGTTAGAACAAGAGCCGTTTAGAGATGTAATCCCAGCGAAAGAAATGACGGTAGAATCAAGTTTCAAAATTATCGCAGTTAAAGCTACATTTTTTTTTCATAGGTTCAAATACAAATCCTGCAGGAAACGACGGACAAGGAACTGCAAGTATATATCGAATAATAACGAACACAATTGCTTCATACATGGCCAGAAATTTCAAACAAAATATATCTTCATAGCGTGCATATTATGTACCTCTTTCGGAGTTATGCAAGCTGTAAATTGTGCAATGTCATGAATTTTCAATTTGCCGAAACCACTTGTTATGACAGGCTTACCCCAAAAAATCTACTATTAATTTGGGCAGCGTTGAAGCCGAGAAGAATGAGCTACATTCCCGTTTTAAACGATCAAAAGAAATGAGCCAAGTTGTTAATCTAAATTCTGTTTTCACCTACCTTGCTTCACCCACATTTATACAAAGTAATATCACATTTCTTTGCGCGATGAATTTATTTTACACCGTTAAATCAACCCCATCATACGACAATATGTAGAGAATAAATCTATGACTAAAAATGTCCATTTATCATTGCAGAGACTGATCGAAATAACATGGTTGAAATGAAAGGCCCATCTCTGAACTATCCTCTGCAATCAGGAGAACTTCTGTCCCTTTTCAAAAATGCCGACATCATTTGGTCCCACGACATTAAAACTAGAACAAAAGAAGATCTAGTACTTAGTTTGGCGTCGTCTGGCTACTACAACAGCGTAACACTTTGCCAAGCCTCGCCAAAAACTAAAACACAACTTGATGCTCTTTTGAACATCGCTCCAGCTTCGTATCCTGGTGTTCTGTTAAGGTTCGCACCCGGGACTTACTACTACATGTGCACAAGAAATAACAACTTTACCAACCGCAATCAGAAGGGACGAATTCGTGTTTATGCAAATGGAAATGAAACTTCGTATGGACGTGTCACTCGACCAGGAATTTTCAACAAAACATTTGTGTAGACCTCTTACCGCTTCAAACTGCTTAATATGCATACGTCAGATTTAGAAGACATTTAGTTATCATTGATTCTATATTTTTGTCGTATTTACTATTATAATTATAGACCTGCAGCAATAATCTGAATATCAATAAATCAACTTAAAATGTCATTCAAAACAATAGTTCAAAGTATGGGACAGGGGAGACGAATTTTATCTACAATTTACCATACTAAACGTTTAATTTATATATTAAGCTATTATCATTTTTCTTTTAAAAGACATTTTAGACAAAAGAAACTGCCATATTCGCGTGTTCCCGTTTCAAGGAACTTCTCGATTTTATACATCGAATACTTTTCAAAAAGTAAAGAAGATGGTTCTATTCGGGTGGGAAACATCAAAAGGCTAGTTTTGTATTGAATAAAGAAAATGTCAAAACATGTACAAGGGAAACAAGAATAATTTCAACCCACTATACGTATATCTACCACTTGATATGCAACAGTGACACATCTGCCTTTTCTTCACCCTGAAATTTTCGACTTGTGTAGAATTTTTGTATATCCTTAACTGAATATCTTAATGCAAGTGCGTATATTCTGCTAACGAATACACATGCAGTGACGTAACGTGGAGTTACGGGTAGCTCCCAAGCTTTAGGGGCCCCCGAATAAAAATACCATAAAAAATTGTAACACGTTTATGGAAAATAAAACTTGGGTCAGGGTGCTCTTCTCAATCGAAGAATACAGGTCCCCCTTCAAAATTTTGCTTTTTACAGTCAGGGAATCATGGAGGGCACTGCAGTCAAATAGATTTTATTGTAGATTCATTGGGTGAGTTTAGAAGGGAGAGACATGCAGAAATGAAGCACTTGCAATTTTCATGAGCATTAGAGCTCTCTGTCCCATTTCCGGTACTAAGGATAGCCGTAAACGAAGAGAAATGCGACTCATCCACAGTCTTGGCACTCTTTCATTTAGGCTTATTCACTTAGAGTAGTATGAATTCCATTTCTTTGTTTACATCAAAACTGGTTGTAAAATATTTTCGTTGCTGATCAGGCCTCCCTCATTGCGGGCTATTCTTCGCCGACAATCAGGCATCTCTTTGGCAACGTAATGTATTCCAATTTGTTTTGATTATCTGCTTTCTATTGACCCATTTTTAACACGTGTTTTGCCCCCATACAAAACATGTGTTTCCCATTTTTATTTTCATACTAACTCTCCTGATGAAGGCCCTCAGGTGGAAACGACGAGAAGTATTTTGTCTATTTTAGGCAATTGTTATACTACTTTTGATGCTTTGTTAGACTTTCGTAGAATATTAATATTTCGTTCTGGCGGGAGCGCGGGTAGGGTCGAGGCTACACGATTGTAGAGGACAATTATAGGAGAGAAGGCTCCCAAAGAAGAATCATGCGCAATAGTTGCAGCGAGCATGGTAATGTCGTTCAAACCAGCCATTTAAAAATATTTTTTAAACATTTAATGATTAGTCAAATTTGAGTGACTTTTTATAGTCTATTTTGCACCTGAGTTTGAATTTTTAAATGCCGTATGCTATCCCGCTTTTCCTGCATCAACATTTCAGTGTTTGGATACAATAAAACAATATATTTTCGTTTCGAAGAGGAAGGAAGAGGATTGGAGCTGGGAACATTATCCATTTTAGATGTCAGATATTAACATCCATATACAAGCTTTTATTTTTTTTATTTTATCACAAAATCCTTTAAAGAACCACATTTTCAGAAATCTAAAATTCCTATTGTATTTAAGCCTTAAGATCCGGCATTTTTCGCCGGTTTCTAATAAAGGATAAAAATTTTGATGATATTTCTAGGTTGACTAGAGTTTGACTGTAAACATGTGTTCGAAAAATAGTTAAGATAGCTAAAAGTGAAAAAAAATAATACAATCAGGCCCAAATCATTGTATTCTTCAGTTTCGGCGACAAATCATTTGCTGAAACAGTTTTTTGAACGCTTTCCTGTATGTTAGATCAAGCCAAGCATAAATTATTGGGTTACACATACTGTTGAACATAGGAAGTATTTCCATTATTGCTGTGTTAATTTTCTCTAAGCGAATCCAGTAGCTCACTGACGTTTCGTCGTAATCAGGAAAGTTTGGATAGTAAAGAGCTAACAGCCAAGACGTGAAAAACGGACCCCAACAAAGAATGAACAGGCCAACGACAAGAAAAAGCATCCGAATCACCTTCACATCATTGCGTAAGGCAGTTCGCTGACCAAGGGGATTGGATATTTGGCCCAGGTTTCCATTTCGCAACATTTTTTGTCTTTTGTGAGCGACAATAAAGATTAGGGCGTACATAACCAGCATTACAATAGTGGGTACGAAAAATCCAACTACCGCTAAAGCGGTCTGGATTTCTTTCAATAACTTCTTGTCTTTGACAAACAGGCTTGTTTTGGATCCTGCACGAGGAATGGTGAGATAAGTGGAAAATGACGCGGAAAAAAGACCGGTGACGAAAATTATTTTTCGTAATCTGGATGTAGTCATTCGCAATCTATACTGTAGCGACTTGCTGATTTTAAGATAGCGGTCAAAACTAATTATGGTCATTGTATAAACAGATGTTGTTATCGCCATAGTTTCAATCCAAAACATAAAACGGTGTAGATGGATAGATATGGCAAATGTTTCTGTCTTGGTCAGATGCAGCCTATACAGCCGTAATGGAATGACAAGTGAACCAACCAAAAGATCTGCGACAGCCAGACAAGCGATCAAATATTTATTCGGTTGATGAAGTTTCTTTTCTCTCCAGGTCGCAACCAAAACTAAAATATTTCCAAAAATCGTGAAGATAATAATAAAAATGTAGAAAATTTTCACTGCTAACAGTCGCTTCTCCTCAAACTCGTGTACTTTCATCCAGTCATTTCGCGACCATTCACAAAAAGGCATCGGATGACATCGACCCATTCTTGTTCTATTTGAGATATTACGAAACAACGCAGTGCCAGTGGTATTGATGAATGGCGTCATTGCAATAATTCATCCGTCCTGTTTAAGAATTCGAATTAGTTAGAAAAAGGAAAAAACTAGCTGTTGTATTTTGAAAATCGAGACGTTTGAGAAAGTTTCCCGTTGTATAATTAAAATTATAATATTTTGATAAAAGGAAGGTATAGAAGACTTTACATCGTATAAAGTTTTATTACTTGAGCTACTGTGGTAGGCCAATTCTAAAAATGGGCTTTCTGCTTTCCATGTCAAGAAATTGCAATCATGCGCATTACATACTTCCGCCTTTCCGTGTTGCGCAGATTAACAACAGTTAATAAGTGATTTAGCTTGTTGGTACACCACGTAGAATTTGATACTGCAAAGCTTTCGGTCCGTTAACCCGGGCCTCCATCAGTGCACTTTTAAACTTGGTCTACCACAATTGTACTGATGAAGGCCCGGGTTAACGGACCGAAAGATTTGCAACATTAAATACTTACGTGGTGCACCAACAAGCTAAATTACTTAAATTATGTACAATTATAATAATAGTACTTATAATATGACATTTATAGTACGCGCGTGCTGATTGGTCAAGAAGCGTGATTCTATATAACTGTGTAGAAACACGGGCCGAACTTGACAAGCGAAGCGATGTAATGAGAACTTGTAATTGAATCGAATTATAATATTTGTAAAGAATCACTTGATCGAGTTATATTAATTATAAAAGAAATAGAAAACATTTTTCCTCTGTTTCTATATATAGTTATAAAAACACTTGAAAAGAGCTCGAAATGGATGGTATGAAATTTATACTAGCATGGTAACTCTTCAATTTAACTGTTTTAATATTTTTAGATTATAGGATAAATTGTTGCAAGCTTATAGACTATGTAAAGACAGTGAAAAAAATCCAGCTCCTGTAATAAAATTATCTTTACACCATAATTATATAGTCAAGGTAATGTTGCATCTGGTCAAAATGCAGGGAAGCAATGCGTGCTCATGAGTTTGTGTGCTTTGGTATACAAGTTAAGTGAGACATGAATAATAAGCCCAGCAGATCTAATTCAAAGAATTAACATTTGTAACGAACGTATTTCTTTGAATTTGTAATGATGTATATATTTGTAATGAATGAACATTTGCAGGGGCGTAACTAGAACGATAATTGGGGGGGTGAATATTCATATATTCACTTCTGCCCGACGGATTTCTATTGTAAGCTATTGCAGTTACAAAAGAAATCCGGTAGTAGGCAGAACTGGATATATGAATATTCACCCCCCAATTATCGTTCTACAGGGTACCCCCAAAAAAACCGAAAACTATTGAAATCACTCATTGTTAAAATTTGAATGCTGTGTGCACGAGTTTTAGCTTATGGGGATTTAATGCAACTCAGTGAAATGCTAAATGCTTTGTGTTGCTACAGAAAGGGGACATGTCGAAGGTCATGGTGATTGAGATGCACATTTAAATATTGTTAATAAATATCATTTTCGCGTACGAGCAAATTTTACTGCATCATATGCATGCATAAAAATGCTTATGGCAAACATTTACACACTTGTGGGTCCCAACAGAGTGCTTAGGCATTCAAACTCTAACAATTACATTGTTATGGGTGATTTCAATGGTTTTCGGTTTTTTTGGGACACCCTGTAGTTACGCCGCTGAACATTTGTCATTGGTGATGTATTGTCTTGAACATTTGCAATGCATTTGTAAATTGCAATGTATAACTGTCAAGATTATCGGGCCAGTCTTACTTGTTGCTTAAAGAAGTAAATGAACAACCATGGATGGTGAACATTTTAACATTGATTATCAGTTTGAGTACAGGAAAGTTATACTGGTAGTCTACATGGTTCTTACATGGGGCAAATATAATTGAAAGCAATCAATACATTTTGCCCTTTATTGGTGTGATGCAAACATTGATTTATCAAGGTTTTCATTCATTTCTGTTAACAATTGGATTGAATACTGTGGCTATGTAAGCCACTGAAAACTAATATTCTTGTACGTTTGCATGGTGACAATTGATGAGTAGCCCGTACAACGTACACCACGTAAGTATATAATTTTTCGGTCTGGTTAACCCAGGCCTTCATCAGTGTAATGAATGATCAGCTAAGACATAAACAAGACACCGAATATCTATCCTCTGTCTGTTTACTATATATTGGTCCAGCTTCGTATAAAATCGTAAGGATCTTAAGAGAAGTTGGAATACAAATATACCAGCAAGCAATAACAAATAGTTTCGCGCTCTTTACACGCACAAGGATGGCGTCGATGAACTTCAGAAACCTGGTGTGTACCGCATTCTATGTGAATGTGCTCTGGTTTACATTGGAGAGACCGGTAGAAATCTCTCAATACGTCTAAAATGCGCTATGTTTTTATTCAATTTTCTACTCCATTGTAACTCACTGTGGTTATTGGAATGATTAATTAGATATGTTCTCTCAGAATATGACAATCTATTTTACGAAGAAACTTTAAATGATGGCGATAAGTTTCAAGGTAATAAATCACCAAGCACAGTGAATTTTGCAAATGCATGTACTGTGTACTTCATAACATGAGGGAAATTTTACCATGAGAATCATAGACATAGATGACGTCCAACGAAGTATTTTTAGTAGGTAGCATGGTATGAAATGCAAAAAATAATCTATTTGAGAAATTTGACGAGTCTAAATCTCTTGTAAACAAGATTAGCACTGTGGTGATGGATAGGCCCGGGGATAGATAGCCGATACGCCCTGCATGTGGTTTTCTGCCAGGCTGAATTTTTCGATGGAGCAAAAATTTACGCTCGATTTTTTTTTTAATTGAGATCCTTGAAGTCAATCTGTTTCAGTTGACTTCCCACAAATGAAAGCAACTATGATGCCAGTTTAAGCCAAACTGTCATCTATTTGTTTATATCAGAAACAAAAGGTCCCGATTTTTAATTTTTCAGGAAGTTTTAAAATAATGACTTAACCGCGTCTTCAAAAGCCTGCATGTATCCGCAATGTTTAACCCACTGGCGCTGCCGTTGATCTTACCGAATGACTAAAGTTCTTTCCCCAATATTCCTCTCAAATATCTGTGACATTTCTCCTCGTGTTAATAGAGATCGATACTTCATACATACATACATACACACATACATCACTTTCTTTAAAACACGCTAGCCCCACTGAAATTTGATAATAGTTGATTTCCAGGAGGGGCGTGTGAATAAAACAAAGAAAATATAGAGATAGTACAATAATACATACTAACATAGTACAATATTTACAAAATTAGATATATCATATACATCACTTGCTACAGACTTCCACCATGAGTAGGGAGTGGGCGATGGGATTCACTCGCGAGTAACGAGTTGCGAGTGTCCGAGTCACTCGCAAGTAACGAGTATTTGCATATGATAATTTATACGATTACATATTTGCTCACATGCACTCGCATATTTGCGCTTACAATTTGGGGTATTCCAATTCATAAACTTCGCAATTTTGACAACCTGCATTATAATTAGCTGTAGTATACTGTATATCTTGCAATCGGCTCCTCGCGCCTTTTTGTTGTGTCTATAGCCTATACGATTTCTAGTCGGACGATTGATTTTTAATTTAATGCGTTAGTGTAGCCGTTGCATCAAAACAAAACTGTTAATTTATGCCGGCAAACACTTGTGAAGGCAAAAATTACCAGCTGATAGTTGGGATCGCCCCCACGTTATAATATTGTTTTGATCAAAAGACTAAACTATATATAGTTTGTCTAATATTGTGTTTGGTAAGTACGTCGTTTCTTCTTGTGTAAATTCTTATAAACGCGACTAAAAGGTTCATGGAAACTTCGGAGTGATGATGAACACCAACCATTTGCTAACTGTGGGATGAAATAATTTACGTATAGAAGGACTTTAATCTTGAAACCGCGTTGTCATTCGTTTATCCCGTGGTTATGTATTGGCTCAATACGACGCTTTATTATCCGTTACCAAAGTAAAGGTAAGATCCTATTTTTTAAGCACGAATAACCTAAATTTGTGATTTATATATAGTTGGAGTTTAGACAGCACAACAACAGTAACCGTTATACTATACGTACTTTTGGTTTAACGCATTAAACTAAAAATCAATCTTCTCACTAGAAAGCCTATAGACACAACAAAAAGGCGCAAGGAGCGGATTGCACTATATATACTACAATGCAGGTTGTCAAAATTGCAAAGTTTAAGAATTGGAATACCCCAAATTGTAAACTCAAATATGCGATGTAATCGTATAAATTATCATTTGTAAAATCGCTACTTACCGAGTGAAGTCAAGTTACTCGCAGGCGGCTGTATTGTAAGAATGTCCTTTTAGCCGTATCATGCAGATATCCAAATTTTCTTTGTTATAATTTCTAACCTGCTTTCAATGAAGTACTCTAAATTTCTCTACGAAAGCGGCTACTGTTATGAATTAATAAGGGTTGGGATAAAACGCGGAAACGGAATACGGAACAGAAAGGCGGAAGCGGATTTCGTAAGCGGATTCTGCAAATGGGGATAAAACGCGGGTTCCGTAAGCGGATTCCACAAATGGGGATAAAACGCGGATTCCACAAATGGGGATAAAACGCGGAATTGCGCAAAAAAATTAAGAAGCAGATAAGAACCCAAATGGACAAGTTGTCGTCGACGACTCCCCTAAAGTGGTTGACAAAGTTGTATGTATGCATGTATGTATGTATGTAAAACTTTACCTTAAGACACTGAGCCCCAACAACAATACGTTGATTTCCCCGGGGGTGTCTAAGTTTTGATCACAGACACCCCAAATAGAAGAACAATAGTCAAAGTACGGCTGATCAGAGCCCGGTGAATTATTTGGAGGGAGCCAGGTGAGGCCAGTTCAACCTTCAGGGCAACTGCGCTCTAAGTTATTTCTGAAATATATTTTCATTAGTTAGCCATACGATTTTGATATGTGTAC